CCAGAGGACACACAACGTGGTAAAGTATACCGTCTCAGATTGTGCCTCTAATAGGGATCAGACCCTGCACGACAAGGCCAGGCTTGTGCAGAGCACTGCAGACCAGTGGCAGTGGGGATCAGACCCTGCACGACAAGGCCAGGCTTGTGCAGAGCACTGCAGACCAGGGGTGGTGGGGATCAGACCCTGCACGACAAGGCCAGGCTTGTGCAGCCCACTGCGGGCCAGGGGTGGTGGGGATCAGACCCTGCACGACAAGGCCAGGCTTGTGCAGAGCACTGCAGACCAGTGGCAGTGGGGATCAGACCCTGCTCGACAAGGCCAGGCTTGTGCAGCCCACTGCGGGCCAGGGGTGGTGGGGATCAGACCCTGCACGACAAGGCCAGGCTTGTGCAGCCCACTGCGGGCCAGGGGTGGTGGGGATCAGACCCTGCACGACAAGGCCAGGCTTGCGCAGAGCACTGCAGACCAGTGGCGGTGGGGATCAGACCCTGCACGACAAGACCTGTCCTGATCAGAGCACTGCGGGCCAGGGGTGGTGGGGATCAGACCCTGCACGACAAGGCCAGGCTTGCGCAGAGCACTGCAGACCAGTGGCGGTGGGGATCAGACCCTGCACGACAAGACCTGTCCTGATCAGAGCACTGCGGGCCAGGGGTGGTGGGGATCAGACCCTGCTCGACAAGGCCAGGCTTGTGCAGCCCACTGCAGACCAGTGGCGGTGGGGATCAGACCCTGCACGACAAGACCTGTCCTGATCAGAGCACTGCGGGCCAGGGGTGGTGGGGATCAGACCCTGCTCGACAAGGCCAGGCTTGTGCAGCCCACTGCAGACCAGAGGCGATGGGGATCAGACCCTGCTCGACAAGGCCAGGCTTGTGCAGAGCACTGCCGGCAAGGGGCGGTGTAAATAAATAAATTAGGTATTTGAACCTCAGAGCTGAAAGCAAAGCTGTGCAACCCCGACATCAACATCACAACGGCACGCAAAACAACACAAGAGAACAAGTTACATTTATCGGCTTCTATCATGCCGAGGAGTACAAGCGCGAAGAATCACGCACATAAAATCAAAAATCGTACAAAACGACTGAGTATAACCAGAGATACGGCCATTTCAAACACAAGACACCCAAAACGGCAGTCACACATCACAAGTATAAGCCATCACAGCACAAACACAATGAACACCACGGCACGCTCACATCCAACGAGACACAACGTCGGATTGAGGAAAACAACCGGCCACAGTAGACAAAGACATCATACAAAGGACCTTACAAAAATTCAGCAAAAATACCACAAAATACAGCAAAAATTAAAGCAAAATTAAAACAAAAATACAAGTCAAGCCATCAAAAGACACAACGAGGAACCACCCTGGGAGCGACAGGTGCACACAGGGATCCCCACAGAGGGACCCCCGAGGCGGTGCCTACCTACGACGAGCGCAGGCAGACACCGCCAAAGCGACGCTGGATGTGGTCAGCGTTCATCTGATGGACCAGCGCCGCAAAGCGACCCTTCCACCGAGGAGGAACAAAGGCCTCATCCAGCCCCGGCTGGTACACACCACGGGCCTCGGCGCAGCGGGCGAGCTGACCAAGCAGATCCACAAAGGAGGAGGCGAACCCACCGGTTGTCGTCATCGCCGCAGGGACGATCAGAGTTCTTCTCTCAAACCTCTCTCAAAACGCTTCCTCAACGTTACGCACTTCATCGCAACCTAAAACTGGCCTTCACGTGTCGTGGAGCGAGGAACGACACTAGCATAGATAGCACCAACGACGGCACACGCACACACTACCAGGCACGGCAGCAAGTTTGACGTCAAAACAAGTGACAAGTCAACCTAACAAGCAATTGCACTTTGACGCAAATTCATCGTTTGACTTGACTTGCTTTCTTGTGACTTGATGTGGTGAATAAATTGTTTGAGATGACGCGAGACAGACATGTGAGGGTCATTGGATAAAAGGCAAGACCGGAAAAGACAAACACTGTATCATTGGGTGGCAACCCAGGCGGCTCAGATCATCGACTCCTGCTCAGGGAGGGTATGCTCGGGTGACTCGGGTGGCTGCAGCTGAAGCGTTGACTGGCGCTTCTTGCTCTTCTTGCGCTTATCAAGCTCCTCCTGAGAGGCCTCAGAATAAAGCAGGGCGAGAAATAGCTGGCCCCGGCCATCTTCCAGGTCAACCACACGAGGTTCCTCCTGGAGCTTGATAGACTTGATGGGAATTTCGGCACGCCCAAGATGCTTGTTGGCTCGCATAAAACCCTGCAGCAACAATGAAACGCTCGTAAACATACACTTCGCACAAAAGAGGAAGGGCAGCTGAATTCATATGGAATGTCTCACCTCATGGTCTTTGACCTGAATCTCAAGGACCGCCGTCTCGGGATCGGCTACAGCGATCGTCAAGCGCTCCTCCCATACGGGATTAATGGTTCGCGAAATGTGCTGAAATAGAAAAAACTTTGGTAAGAAAGGACACGGGCCAGTTCTTGATGACGGGAAACAAAGAGTCAAAACGGCTGGGGCTCGGCATACTTTGGTACGATGCTTTTTTCCTTCACATGAAATGCTGACATAGGGATCTGAAAAGCCGTTAGCATTGACGCCATGCAAATTGATGGCCTTTTGAACCTATGATGAGTGCAATAGGATGGGCAAGTGAGCGGGCAGAAGAACAGAGCGCCTCTCAGCGACTCGTGAATAAATCAAAATGAGGGAGCGAGATGGCTTGATGGAGGTTAGCCGAATTAGTGATCATCGCACTGACCACGACAATGGCGTGCCCTGGCCGCTCTGGCGGGCGATCCACAATATCTATGCAATGGGCAGCCCGATAAGTATGGGTTTGGCGAGCAAAATCATGTTTCGACCATCGGGAGTTTTCTGAAAAGCTTACAGGCTCGGTTAATGTCTGTGGCAACAGCTTGTGTCACTGCCTCAGGCCCAGCTGTATCAAGTGTCTCAGCAGCTTCTTTGGCCTCGGCGTCAATGCGCTTGAGCTCTGCCTCTTGCTCCTTCTCACGTTTCTTCATGTAGGACTCCCATGAGATCACTTCAGGTTTGTCCGTATCCGGCTTGACGGTGCGCAGAGCGACACGAAACTACCGGACAGTAAGTCATGAGTAAGATGAAGCAGGCATTCAATGGCGAGCTGTATAGAGTCCGGCCAGGCCACGTCCGTCTGGAATTAGCAAGCTACCTGGATCGTTTGGCCACGTTTGAGCTTTTGCGTCAGAAGGACACCAGATGATTTGGCAACATCCGACAGGTCGACCACAATCTAGTTTGGAAAAAAATTTGTCAATGAAATAGAACCAAACAATGTTCAAGTGAAAGTGCACCAACCCACTCAAAATGCCCAGCCCACGCAGCATATCGTCTGATACCTTGCCCAAGCTGCTTTCGTGTCGCAGCTTGTTGTGGGTGAGTATCTCCAGCGACAGCTTTTCGGACATGAAGCTGCGAATCTAGGTGCATTGAGCATCGAACATCCGGTGAATGATACATAAAAAGGAGGAAGAGGACAGGTGGGCGATATCATTCGGACCAAGAAGGTGAATCGCTTCTTGTAGGCTGGGCTTCGGCCTTGCACGAAATCCATGCCCTGAGAAGAGTTGCCGATGGAGGCGCGGACGGCACTGCCAGCAGGAGGCATGTTACGACCACGAATGATGTCGACAAAAACGACACCAAGAGCCTTGTCTTCAAAATCGTGATCAAAGTACTCGCTGTCGATTGTGGATGTGAAGGGTTTGTATTCAAAGATCGCGTCGAGGTGCCCGGCAGATTTTCCTTTGTGAGTAAAATCAAAGGTGCGGCTGATGCGCGTGTCAGGTGCAAATTGAAGATCATTGGTCATGAGCTCCGCTCGACCCAGTTCAACATTCTTGCCAACGCGATCGTCGTCCTTGACCATCATGCGGAAAGGCCGCGAATTGGAGAGCATCACAAACTCAAAGTATTCGTTCCACACCGGGTTGAGGTCATCATCGATCACCTATGCATGATTCAAATTCATTGAGTTTTGAGGCGCTTCTTATTTAACCACGACGCAGCCTGTCGTACCCGGGTGCGCAATTTGATGGCTTCGTCTTCGTAGAGAGTCAAGGTGACGTAAGGGTCGCTCTTGTTTTTGCCCAACAACGACCAATCGACGTTGCGCAAGTGTTTGGCCTGCTTGACCCAAACACTGACGATTGGCGAACAAAATCGGTGGAGTGAAGGAGCGTGTCCCCCTCGCAGGCCTGGTTACACACACACACACACACACACACACACACACACACACACACACACACACACACACACACACACACACACACACACACACACACACACACACACACATGCCAGTTGTTGACAGCGAGCGTACCGTAGAATGCCAACGCCTTTTGGTGCTGCAGGTTGTACGTCAGCTAGATCCACGGACATGACGTGGGGCCAGATCAATTGAGCTCCCTCCAGTTGGCGCAAAATGATCGAGTTGAGACCAAAGGAGAGGGCATTTGATAGCAATGGCAAGCTCATGATGGGAACATCCAAAACCTATTCGTGTTCCAATGCGGCAGACGTCAGGCAAGCAAAGCTGAATTCCACCAGACGATAACTTGGTTGCGAGCTGCAGCATACCGAGAGCTGGAAATCAAGGTTGAGGGGACGAGTCAAGGAGATGTCGACCGTGTTGAAACAGGGATAGACATCCACAAAATTCTTCAAAATCACCCGCAAAGTTGTGTCGAGCACCAGATCTGAGAGCTCGACGGGCACCTTGAACTTTTTGTAGGTGGCCTCAACTTCGACAAAAATGTCACCAGCCAATGACAGATCAATGTCAAGCATCACCTTGTGATTTGCAAAAGGGTGCAGACGTGGCAGGCAACAGTGAGCGTTTATGATGGCAGGTCAGCAATCGAATGTTTGCTGCCGTGGCAGAGAGTACATCAAGTCCAAAAAGCCTACCGATTCTGATGTGAGGTCTGAGTTGTAGACGTGGATGCCGTTAATCAGTGGGCCATGATGGCCCAAGCTCAGGTTGACAGTAAGGTCCTCGAGTATGTCAAAGGGGCTCTGGCGCTTGTTTTTCATATCACGGAGCGTTTCTTGCACCATGGCACCAACTGCCTGGTTCACACGCGGCCAGATGATGCTGATCACCTCGTTAAGCCACTCCGTCTTTTCGTAATCTGGCACAACGGCCCAGGCGGGGGCCAATTCGGCCAAACGGCCCAACTCAACTGTAGAGCAACGTGAAAGGTCGACGCCATCTGACTGAAGAGCGGCCATGCGCTGTGCCTTGGCTTGTGCCTTGGTACTGCTGTTAAAGTAGATGAAGCCACACGTCAGCAAAAAGAGCAAGAGTTCCACAGACCAGGGTAATGGGAGGTACGTCAGGAGCATGAAGGCCAGCAGCGTCACAATGATGACGCCGGCATCGACGATGGCTGAAGGCAGGTTCTTCTTGAGGTCGGCAATGATGCGATGGTAGCTGGCAACCACGTCCACTGCAGCGTTTTCCGCTTCTTGAGTGGTCTGTTTGGTCAATTCAGCCACTGAGGCCTTCACGAGCTCCTCTGGTTCTAAGTTTGACTGGGAAGGTGGACGTGGCGACGAAGGAAGCTCGGGCTGTGTTGCCATTGCTTCCATCTGGCTGGCGCTGTCGCGATGACCACCGGTTTTCTTGCGGTTACGCATGCCCCACATGCCCGTGGTGTGGCGCTGAATGGTAGGCATCGGTCCCACGTGGTCATCACTGGCCATCTCCGTTTCGCTGTCGATGACGCGAACGGTCAGGTGAACGTACAAAATCTCGCCATCAGCCAATTTAAATTCCTACGGCAAACGCGATGCAAACAAAAGATGTGGAAGCGGGGTCTGCTGAGCTGCGGCTGCTTTCAAAAAGAGGCGTGCAAAATACTTTTTGCTTTTGAGCTCTGAGCACGCACGCACCTTGAGGGTGCCGTAGTAACCAGCATCATAGGCTAACTTCAGGCCGTCAAGGTCAACCGATCCGAGCTTGTTGTTGAACTCAATGCGAACGTGTCCGTCATCGGCATTTCGCAAAGGAAAAGCATAGCCTGGCGATAGCAGGGTGGCGGCGATTGTTAGTGCCGCCACTGACCGATCTGGCATTTCCTTGCACGACCAGGACGCGAGGTTGCTGATCCGAAGTTTTACAAACCTTGTTCAAAGATGCACATGCGCTCCCAGGGCACGACGGCCCAAGACTCGCCCATTTTGACATACTCGCGCGAGCGAGTCCCGTCTGCACCATGAGCGGTCGTGCGATGCAACACGGCAAACTGTCGAGGCATGTGAGAACAGATAGGGGCTGGCTCAGAGCACGGTGGACAGAGCGAGGCATCACCGGGACTGAGCACAGACCTCAACAGCTTTGGGCTTCTCAATCTTTTCAATGCGTCGTACATCCACGAATAGGAAGGCCGGTGTTTGACCCAGGGCGTGGTGGTCAGACCGCTCCCAGACGCGGTCGATGGGTGGAGGGATGGTAACGAACGGCTTGTATGTCACTAGAAGCGAAATGGTGCCCTGACAGAATAAAGCGCCAGAACTTGGTCAGGGCAAAATTTGACTCGGATGGAGAGTGCTAACACGCATTGGCTGTCAAAAGCTGACCTCGCCACCGGTGAGGGTTTTGGTGATGAAGATTTGCTTGTTGGGGGTCAGACGGCTGATGGGGATGTCGCAAAAGCCCATTGGGTCATCGTGATCTAGCTTATCGTAGTCATAGATTTGCACGTGCAGACTCTGACGATGTGTGTCGCATCAAGTTTGCATTTTTGGCAAAGTAAGGAAAAGGCATCAAACAAGAAGCCTTGTCGCCAAAGCCGGCGTTTTGTGGGCAGGAGGAGACGAAACCAACCTGAGTAGCCACATCGTAGACGGAGAGTTCAAAACTTTCGTCCCAGTGAGGATCGGTCGTCTTCTTTTGGACCTGTCAATGAAATAGAAAGGCCAAGAGGCAAAAGAAAAGTCAATCGTGGGGCCGTGCGGCTCTTATTATTTTTCTTAATGTTGAATGTGTGAGATACCAAAGTCATTGGCCAACCTTGGTCTTCACGACGTCATCGCCCCGAATGGAGAGCTTGACGTAGGGATCACTTGAGGAGACATCCATCTTGGAGAGGCCTTGCGCTCGAACCACCGTCACGTGAAGCAGGCCATCCGAGCAAACGGAGGTGAACAACCAGCTCAGGCTATCCGGGTATGGATCCAAAGTCAACATGGGCACGACAACCTGAGATGCAAGATTGAGAGTGTAAGTGGGCCTGAAACAAAGAAATTCTGGCGCTGGTATGTGACAGCAGGGAAGGGGGTTGGTGGGGAATCGGAGAGAGTGAAGTCCAGGCCATTCCTGTGCGGCCTCTCACAAACCTTGCGCGGCCACACGAGGCTGGTCGTGAGGATGTCATTGATAAACTTGTTCAGAAACTTTTCAAGACCAGGGATGGCGCTCAGGGGAAGTGCGACGGCTATTGTGATTGGACACGCGTGAGTCACTCGAGTTGAGAGTCAACAGAAGGTGAGGAGGGGAACTGGGGGCGAAAACCGACCAGCAAGTTTGTAATGTAAGTCCAGTTTGTCAATGATGGAAACAGAGAGCGCCTCAAAGGGGGTGACGTTGTCGATCAGAGGGGCGAGCAGCACACGGATGGTGCCTTGCACTTCCAAGTTTTGGACCTGGTGTCAAGGCGCAAGTGAACAAGGGCGGGCCAAGCGTGAGTGTTAAGGGTTCAATTTGGCCGTGTGATCTTTTGATCTCAATGTTACGATTGGGGGCTCTGGGTCGACAACGGGAACGGACCTTGACAGAGACATTGACTTTGCCAGCTCCAATGGACAGGACAACATCATTCTCACCGTTGGCCATGCGAATGCCGAGGTCGATAGCTACGGCATCCTTGTGCCATTGAACGACATTGACGGTGGTAATCTCCGGGGGGTCATTGCCAAGGTCAAAGGTCTCAAAGCCAAAGGTTGAGAGGAAACTCGGCTTGATTTGAGCAAAAATGGCCGTGCAGCTGTTTTGCACCGTCTACGCACACGTTTGAAAGAGTATGAGTCTCATGATCGTGTGAGGCAGGGGTGGCCAAAGGGCAGGCGTACGTCTTCCGTGGCCTTTTTTGCATTGGGCCAGAGCTGCTGAAGGGCAGTGTTGATGAACGTGGTGCGTTCGTCCTCTGAAAAGTTGACCCAAGAGGGATAGTCGCCCATGATCTTGAGAAAATCCTCGGCATAGAGGAATTGGCGCTGAGCAATGGCATTGCGTTGCTTCTCATAAAGCACGAATTCGCGGTAAAAGTGGAAAGCCAGCATGAAGCAAAGGCCAATGTACCAGAGAACCCCAAAGTTGAAGATGTACAGGAAGAAGGCCCAAGCAAAGATCAAGGCGGATCGGACGATGACACGTCGCTGGAGGCCTGTGGTCCTCGAGCGTGGTGCACTGGGCCCGGAGCCTACTCCATCGGCTTCGGCCATCTTGGCGATGCACACGGCAGAGTGCGCGAGTTTCTGCTGATAATCAGGGTTGGAAGTGAGCCGGGCAGGCCCATTTTTCTACTGATGTTTTCCAATGTGGGACAGATTGTGCCAGGCCACGTACTGTGTATTTTCTCCAGCTGGCAGTGCTTGATTTGGCGACTCGTTCAATTCTTGAATAAGAGACCCAAGGCCGATAATGATTCGTGATGTGCAGAGAGCAGGTTGCGTTGTCCGAGGTAAAGCGGGCACAAACAAGAGCGTTCAAGTGGTAAGTGCGCGCATTCAAGTTTAATCGCAGGCGCTGACGACCTTGCCATGTATACCACGCAATGCCGCGCCATGGGGCGTTTTCAGCCACAAATTACACGAGAGGCGGGAGAACTTGGGTGCATCAACAATCAAGCTTGACAGGCCCCTCTGCACCATCCCTCCCCTTCTCCTCCTCCTCCTCGATGCTCCACCGGGTCTGGGTACACACACGCACACACGCACACACGCACACACCCATCGGGACGACTGACCTCAATGTCACGCGCAAGGACGTGCAGTGAGAAAAAAAAATGAGGCTCAGTACATCTTCAACAACCTCATTTTTATCTCCGTAATATACCATTGTTGACATTAACAAATCTGCAAGAACCTTTTTTAAAATCTGCATAAAGTTGTGGTCTAGCCACTGGCCCTGGCGCATTGACCATGCCTATATGAAACGCAATGGCTCGACCGCTTGACCGCTCGTCTGACCTCTGACCTCCACACACACATACACACATGCACACATACTCGCTCTCGCTCTCTTGCTCTCTCGCTCTCTCCACAGACTCTCAGCTCGTCCTGCGACCACATGACCCCTCGCTGCCATTTGGGCCGCCACCTACACCATCACACCCATTGCACACACGCGCGCCTTTGATGTGAACCCTCATCGAGTTGTTACACACACACACAGTTTGGCTCCATTACACACATGATGTGTGTGTGTGTTGTGTGTGTTGTGTGTGTTGTGTGTGTTGTGTGTGTGTGCGTGCGTGTGTGTGTGACCGTTGCAGTTTTGTATTTTACTTATTTTTGACATTTTTTGGTCCTTGTGACATTTTGAGTGACAAGAGACTGGACATGCTTGAACAGAAAGGGCTCTGCATGGGTGTCAATTGCACGTGCGGGAGGGCACACAAGGGTGGACGCTTTGAGAGCGAGGGTAGAGGTCAGAATTTGAGCGCCCGACTATCGAACGCGGTAGAGGACGCGGCGTTGCATTTTGTGTTCCAGCTCTCCGCGGCGCAGCATGATGCCCAAGACTTTGCGGATCATCGCCTCGGAAAAGTTGCGCCGACTCATGTGGTCCACGATGCGCTGCTCCGACACCTTGGATCCCACCGGAAAGCGTTGCTTGATCTGGCGCTCAATCTATCCAAGGCAATGTGTTTGGTGATGAAACGAGGGCGCGCGCAAAAGCATGCCACACGGCAAAGAGCAGGGCCCGCAACATGGGGCACCCAGAATAACGCTCGCACCGTCAAGAGTTGCTCCATCGACGCTTGGTCTGTATTGTTCTCAGTGCCGTGTCCCGCCAGCGCCGCACTCATGGTCGACACCTGTCATCAAACCAAGCGCACACGGGTTGGTGGAATGAGTCCCCCCACTCAAGTCAACTCTTGCTTCCCCTTTCCTTGCCACAAAGACATGCGCACCTGGAACAGGCGGAACGCCTCGTCCACGTCCTCCTCTGTTACAAAGGGCTCCAGCTTCATCTTGGCCAACGACTGTGAAGCGATTGCACGGCCCCGTGAGCACAACAAACAGCAGATGGGCCCCAAGACGGGGAGGGGGAAAGGCAATCGATGACGCAGCGTCTTGGCTTGGAAACCACACACCTCAGATATCCGCACGAGGGCCTCCAGCTGACGAACAGTCAATGGAATCGCCGCCCGCTTGGCCGTCTCTTGGAATTGCAAATTGGCCTTTTGTCGCAGCTACATGCCAGACCCCATGGACACAGGCAATGAGCAAAAGGGCATGCACTATAGCACAGTCGAATCGTCTACGGCTCCTGACCTGCACAAAGTGGTTTTTCAACTTCTCTGCCGCAGAAGGCGACAAGCGAGGTCCACAATGCCTGCCGAGAGGGTGATAATTTGAGAATCCACTCACAAAGCCGCAGATGCCAGAGTGGCAAGCAAGGTCGCAAAGCACCGGTTGCGCCCATGCCACCAGACGCCAACGGTCATGCCACATACCGACGAGCATACTGGATATACTTTTTATACAAAGGCACATCAAGTTCACCTTCCTGTGTGCGCTCGGTCGCATTCAGATGCACACCGAGCACATGGCGCGCCAAGCGCTACAATCCACGTACAGATTAAGTACAATTATGAGAGGGGGACGACAAGACCCTCATCGCTTTTCGCTCTGGTCATTCAAAAAAAAAAAAAAAAAAAAAAAAAAAAAAAAAAAAAAAAGCCTTCACTGCAAGAGGCAAGGCGACGGCAAAAGTCTCAAGCACCTCACCTTGTCCCGCTCCTCATTGTACTCGTCCTTGACGACGAAGATGAGGTCAAAGCGCGACAAGATGGTTGATTGAAACTCAATGTTCTCATCCGCCTCCTTTGTATCGTCCCATCGCCTATCGGTGAGCAATAAGTCACCAAGATTGAGGTAGGTACGCCATCACGACTTGGACCAACAAGGGCGATGACGGGGGGGAAAGATCCATCGACGCACCCAAAGACGGAGTTGGCTGCGGCTAGCACGGAAGCACGTGAATTGAGTGTCGTGGTGATGCCTGCCTTTGCGATACTAATGGTCTGCTGCTCCATGGCCTCGTGGATGGCGACACGGTCGGATTCTCGCATCTGCGAGCCAAGGCAACCAGTACAAGTACATTCGTCAGCATGGTCTTTCTGCCGACCTTGTCTGCAGTAGTCTGTGGAAGTCAAAGGTGGTGTACACACCTTGTCAAACTCGTCAATGCAAACAATGCCCCCATCCGCAAGGACCATGGCGCCACCTTCCAAATAAAACTCGCGCTATGTGCAGGGGTTAAAAAGCGAGGCCAAACAGCCAACATGCAGTCAATGAGTGCGAGGCATCGAACTCGGCGACAATCAATACGAAGAATGCTCCGGTGTAACAGCGCAATGATCGTTATGCTCACCGATGATGCGTCGCGAATCACAGAGGCGGTCAAACCAGCGGCCGAAGAGCCCTTGCCAGAGGTATACACACCAATGGGGGACACCTGGAAGAAATCAAAATGAACAGACGGAGCAGTCGTGGGCATCTGGCCAGGTGCTAGTGACCGATTCGAGCTTCAAGGTCATGGGTGCGTACCTGCTCGGCAAACTTTAGGATTTGAGACTTGGCCGTGCCGGGATCACCCAGCAGTAGCACGTTGATGTCACCACGGAGACGCATGCCGTCTGGCAGGACCTTGGTGGAGCCACCGAAAAGCAAGCAGGCCACTGCCTTCTTGATGTCTACACAGCAGAAACATGGCCGTGAGTGAGATCGACGCTGAGTATTCACGAAGCAAGCCTCGTGCCCCGGTCAAGCGCATTTGAAGGTGCGCGTGGTCATTTCAACAGCTTGGACGAGTGGCGAGTACCTTCGGAGCCAAAGATACTAGGGGCAGTGCTGCTGATGATCTTCTTGTAAACATCTGGCTCACGCGCAAGGTTACGAATGCGCTCCTCGGTGGCATCGTCAAAGCCCCTGTAGCAAGCATGACGGCCATCAGGCAATGATGAGGTGAGGGCGACGGTTGTTAATCCAAGCTGAGTTGACAGCCAACGGGTTGTTGCAAGTGGACGCACTGTTGAGATTGGCTTGAGCCCGCCGAATCAACCTGGATGCCAAAGACCTGGATATAAGGGCGGCGCACTGCAACTGTTGACGTGCCACGCTGCGACCCAGTATTGGGCAAAGGGGGGGGGAGACAGACGGTCCACCAAAGAGGGCCGACGAAGTGAGCAACGCGGTACAACCATGTCGGGTGGGGGCAAGGCAAGAGAGCAAAGCAAGGGGGATCAAACCTCTTTCTTGCCAGACTGGACCGTGTAGACACCGCTCACTGTGCAGCGAGTGCCGGGAATGACACGGTCAGTGAGATAGCGATCAGCAATCAACAGCAAATGCCGAGGCATCTCGCCTACAAAGTAAGGCGAAAAGCATTCGTGAGCTCTTAAGTGTGGTGCGGATCATTTGCAAGTTTGGTTCTAGGGTTCCTGACAATGTACTCGAGTGCGTACCAGTGGGCACAAACTCGGGCAACTCTTGAATCTTTAAGATTTGTTGATCCACGCAGCGACTCTTGTCGGCCACGATCAAAAAAGGATCGAGTGGGCAGCGCTGATCGCCCTCAGCAACAGGGGTGCTGTGTTCATGTTCATTCGCATGCGCGTATACAAGAGCAGGTGGACAAGGCAGAGTTTGCGTGAGAAATGGGGGTACCAGTGGCGCTGTTCGATATCGGCTTGAGAAGGTTGTGGAGGATGTGGGTGGGCGCAAGGCAAAGCTGCTCAGCATAGAAGGGTACACTGGCTTGGAAATGTTTGCTCTGGCATGCATGTGTGTGTTTGTGGAGAAAAGGGGTTGCTGGGCGGCTACGATTTTGGTCAAGTCTGATGCCCCCCAAAATAGGCCATACCGATCGCATGTACGGGGTAGCTGGGCGCCACCAAAGCCGGGCTTCACGGGCCACTACAGGGCGCCAGAGGAGCAAAGAGGAGGGAGGGGCAAAGAAGCGGGGGTCACAGGCCGGAGCCAAGCACTTGCCACGCAGAGAAAAAGTCGTCCTGTTGTGCGCACCTTTTTAGTTTCGCGGCAATTGCGGCATTGAATGGTCAGTTCGGTGGCCTTGGCTCGAGTGGGGGAAGCACTGACAATGATGCCCGGGACTTTAATCAGCTGGGACATTTGTGCCGACTGAACAAGGGCGACAGCCATGCGCCGATGACGGGTGAGTTGAAGGGCGGGAGCGTCGCACGCTCGACTCGGATCGAAACACGTACGCCCAGTTCGCGCATGGAAGCGGGGTTGTCGCTGGAGGTCAAGGTAATCTGGAGGCGTGTGAAAGGTATTGCAGACGGGGAAGACGCACAAGGGTCAAGTCAAAATCGATCGTAGCGGAGGAGGGGATGATGGGCGAGGCGCGCATAATACAATGAGGAGCAAACCTGAATATCATGAATGGTTTCGCCCTCTGTCGCTTCTGTTCCAGTCGTGACGATTTTGCGGGTCACTTCTTTGGCAGCACGTTCAAACTATTGTCACATTTGGCGTCAAACACGGGTGCAAATTTGGGGGAAAGCCGGGGGTGAGGGCCGGTCCAATGCTGTCAATGCAATGCGTACAGCCCCAGCTGGACGTCTTTGGGAGTGTGGCGGGAGAGATACAAACCAAAGTAAGGGTTTCCACGGGGTTTTTGCGGATGGCCTCTACCAACGAATCGCGGTAGCCGGAGAGATGGTCCAAGTCGACTTGCAAACAATATTGATTCTGCCGGTAGTGTCGGGCAAGCTGATCGCTGCGGGACAAGGCAACATCAGACCATGATGATGTGGTGGACGATCATGCAAGAGACCGGGGCAGACTCGTGTTGTGTGATGGTTGGAGAAATTGGCACGGGCAGCGAGACAAACCGACCGGTAAATGTAGGCATTGCCCTCACGATATTCGTCGAGAAAGCCCTGAAACTCGCGCTGAAGGCGGAGGCGCTGGTTGTCCGCATCTCCCTGAAGTGATGAATATCAAGTCGTTAGTGCGCCACGCGAAAGTGCTCCCGCTGGAGCACGAAGAAGCAAAAGGCGCCGGCTCAGCATTTGCTTCACCGCTCAAGATGCAGCTCGACAGACCTGAGAGGTAAGGGGATCACTATAAAAGATTTCGGCTTGGTCCCAACCCGACATGCTGGCGGTGGCGGTGGTGGCGGTGGTGGCGGCTGTGAATCAGGCAGAGGGTCGAGCGCGAACTGTTTTGAAGCCCCGGAAACCGAACCAAGCAAGCTTGCCACGGCCGCTGAGAAGCGGGACCAGGCAAGGCGTACAGGGAGCAGCGTTGCGCCTTGCTAGGGCTGTTGCACAGACACAAAAAAAAAAAAAGAAAAAACAGAAAAAAAGAGAAAAAAAAAGAGAGAGAGAGAGAGAGAGAGGAGAAACCAGCGCCGGCGCCAAAATGAGAGAAAACGCGCACGAAAAAGAAAAAACGGCGCCGAGAGACCGTTACAGGACAGATTTGAATTTATAGTATTACCCAATGCTGTTAAATTGGTGGTTCATCTATACAAACTTTATAGACTCGAACAACAGATGTTGTGCACAGGGATAACCCTCCACCATTGACGCGCACTGTGTAACAGAAAGTTGGCTTTTATCTACGTAAACTCTCTTTACTAATACACGTACTTGGTACAGACTTCTGCTTTTACTCTCCATAGTCCTGCAACTTCTTTGCCAAGCAGGGTTTGAGTTTGATTCATTGACTTTAGGGGCCGCTGGTGCCGACTGATCAAGTGACCGCCGACGCAGCGCCTGTCTGTACCAGGTTGAAGAGGACAGAGGAGGGCTGCGAGGGTACTCAAGGCCAGAGGAGGGTTGCCAGGTGCCTAGTTGGCCTTGACGTTGACAACATTTTTTTTGAGATCAAGCCGGGAGATGCTTGACCTTTTGAGTGGGAAGACACGGACAAGCAGGTGATCAGGGTAGGGTGTCAGGTTGCTGCTCCTCTTTTGACTTGCGAGAAGACAGGCACCACGATCGAACGCACGAAAAGGACCCAAACTCGGCTCTGGTTCAGTCATGGGACACACATGCACATCCGTTCATTTTGAACCCAGATGATATCGACAGAAAGTTCCGATGGAAACTCATCTAGTCTTACTCCCTCTCGGGTTCTTCTCCATCCGACGACGCGCCATCGATTCTACCTGCTCTTTGTGCCTGTGCATCTGATCACTCCATCCGTGTCTTCAGTGGCTCTGATCAATCCCTCGAATCAGTCCCGCTGTGCCAGTCTAATCAATCCCTCTCCACAGTTCCTGTCTGTCAGTTTGTCAATCTGCCTCAATCTCTGTCTCTATCTCCGCCTCTGTCTCTACCTTGATCTCTATATCTCTGGCGCTATCTCTACCCACGTCTCTGCCGCTATCCTCACCTCTGGCTCTTGTCTCTGTTTGTTCGTCTGTCCGTCTGTCTGTCTGTCTGTCTGTCTGTCTCTCTCTCTGTCTCTCTGTCTCTGTCTGTCTGTCTCTCTGTCTCTCTGTCTTTTGGTCTCTGTCTGTCTGTCTCTCTGTCTCTCTGTCTTTTGGTCTCTGTCTCTCTGTCTCTCTGTCTGTCTCTCAAACCAATTCATTCTGTCTCTCTTCCTCCTCTCTCACTTTTCATGTGTGTGTGTGTTTGTTGTTGTTGTTGTTGTTGTCCTCTCTCTCTCATTTGTGTTTGTGTTGCTTTTGTTGATGTTTTACACACACACGCACACACACACACACACACTGACACACACTGACACACACTGATTTTATTTTATTTTTTGGACTGATCGCGTGCCTTGAATCCGATGTACACACACACACACACACACACACACACACACACACACACACAAGCGATCAGGGGCGATTGACAGTGACAAGGGTGGGGAGTGTAAGGCGACATCTATTCTCATCTTGCGCCAATACTGAACGAGGGCTGACGACGGGTGGTATTGCTGGGGGGTTGGAAGAAGAACGCGTTGGGATGGCGCGTCGTGCGATCGGAGGTGGGGGTAGGCGGTTGATGATGGCAGCGTGGGCGCCAGCTCTTGTGGCCCTGGTCGTGCTCAGCAGCTGTGCAAGCGTGATGAGCGTGCGGGTCCAGGACGAGACGTGTGATATTGTGGTGGCTGGGGGCTCGACTGCTTCGCTGGCCGCCGCCATCACGGCCGCCGAGGCCGATGCCAGCCTCACCGTATGCTTTACTGAAATCACCGACTGGCCAGGAGGCCAGATGACCGCCGGTGCGTGTCTGTGCAGCCATTTGAGCGACGCGTGCGACACGCCAAACACTCCGAGATCCGCCGTCCTTGATCTTTCAATCCAACCTTTCAAGTCAACTGAAACAACAAGCCAAGCTTGCTCTTCAGCAAGGTTCACTGACATGGCCACTTTCTCCGCTTGCAGGGGGCGTCCCGGCCATTGATTTTGGCTCTTGGAACGGCGATCCGGATAATCAGCCCGCCTCGTTTCGCGATTTCTTCTTCTCGCTTGATGGCAACCCTGGTGGCTGTACAGTCTCTACAAAGTGCTACCTTCCCAACAACCTCGTCTCTGATTGGTCAGCGCTCTCCGATCTAACCCCCGCTCATCGACAACCATCTCCTCCTGACGGCGCTCCTGACTCGGCATAAAAATTATGGTACCTGTTTAAATGCTTAGGATCATGCCTCGCCTGGCTCGCTCCAAGAATCTCAAGGTCCGCGCCAGAATTCTTCATTCCTCACACACCTTTCTCTCTCTCGCTCTCACTTCAGTCACCAAACAACAACAACACCACCACCCGTGCCGTCTGCCTCGATCGCTGCCAGCTTTGCTGCTTGAACGCCGTATCACTCATCTCCACCGTGGATGCCAGGTCTTTCTGCGCACTGCCGTTAAGAATGTGACTCGCGATGCCACATCCGGCAAGATTCTTGGTATCACGGCCATCCAACGAACCCCCACAGACCCGACCACAGAATGGGACCGGCTATTCAGCCAAGACATCGAAGATTGGTTCGTCACTTCACCACAAGCCTTGTCCCCCTCACCCCCGCTAGCCAATTCTCACTGCCATGCCTCTCGTTTGGGCACCACTAGGTACACGGTACAGGATTCGGTCAACTTTCAAAAAACTGTCATCAACTTTGCCGGTACCGTTTTCATCGAAGCCACTGAATTTGGAGACGTGCTCGTGGCCGGCGGCCTGCCTTTCAACCAGGGAATTGAGGTGTGATGCCCTTGCCCGAGCCCAAAGCATCCAGCCATCTCACTTGCTTCCTTTCTTCTAATTGTGCGGGCTGATGGCCATTGCTTTTCTCGCTGCAATGGCACATCAGATTCCCACTGAAGAGGACTGGATTACCGATTCCGTATGTGGCCAGGTCTGGACCACCACCTTCTACATGGGCTTACTGGCTGAGCCCCCGGCCGAGCCCCAGTTTGTGCCCCCGGGCAACAGCGAAGGCAACCCCTACCCCACGACTCAAGACCCCTCGGATTGGCATTACGGCTGGATGTGGCGGCGGTTAGTGCTACCGCATGCCGACCCCAGCGGCCTCAACTGAGTGTTGCCGCCTCGACCCGACCTACTTGAACGAGCAACAACTTGCCTTGTATTTAGCAACCAAGTTCTTCTTGCTTGGCCGAACCTGACTTTGGTACTTGTTGCTTTTCCCGGCGGCCAAAACATAGCGCTTTTTGTGCAGGCAACAAGAGTGACTGCGGTCCCTCCAACACCAACGTCGGCGACGTGACCCAGCAAAACCGCGAGAACGACCTCTTCACTGGCTATCCCCTCCTCTCCATGCCTGATATCCTGGCACAAGCGTCAGACTGGAAAGGTCAGCACCACGGGCGTAACCGTAAGGCCACCTCAAGCGCCGGGCCACCAACAAGAACCACTCACTCTCACATCTCATCTCTCCGTTTCTCCCTCTCACGTCAGGCGGCGTTGATGTCAATGTTCTCTCCATGATGGAGCAACGCGCCTATGCCTACTTTCATTTCATGAATGCAACGGCCCCGGAGCAGGAATGGCTGTCCCGCATTGTGTTGAACAAGACCACGCCTGGTATGTCCCAGCGCAGCGCTCGAGCAAACATGGCTCGCTTGCACTGAGTGGTGTCGTGCCGCCAAGGTTGATCCTGGCCACTCTCACTTGGTTGGCGCTCGCACAGGGACTGGACACGGTCTATCCAAGTTTCCATACGTTCGAGATACCCGCCGCGCCATTGGCTTGGACAATTTTAGGTTGGTCGATTTCAAATCAAGGGGCTCGTCGTCATACCACCTTTGGCCGTTCCTCATGATGCTGCGTTGCCGCCTGGCATGCACATAGGCTGACATATGCAGCCTTTGACTACTTCAACATGTCGTCGCCCAGCACTGGCTTCCGCTTCAACGATACGATTGCGCTTGGCAATTACAATGACGATGTCCATCACCTGCACATCTGCACCTACCCCGACTACATGCTCAACCATACAACCAAGCCATACTACATTCCGTTTCGCGCTTTGACCGTGGCCAATGCCAGCAATTTGCTTGTGGCTGGTACGTGCCCTCTGCGGAGTGTCGTTGGTGTTTTTGGGTCAACCCACGCGGTTTTTGATCCACCCCTGCCTGGACTTGACCTTGCTAGCACGTTTTTGCATCTTGCACTCGATGCTGCGCCGGCTCCTACGCTCCGCTTGCTCACGTTTGTGAATGCGTGTGTTTGCATCTCTATCTGCGTGTCTGTGTCCATGGTGGGTGCAGGCAAGACAATGGCACAGACCTTTCACGGCAACGGCGCCACGCGACTGCATCCCAGCGAATGGACCAGCGGTAAGATGTGCGGGATTGCCCAAAAGGGCACATACCTGCGGGCCATGATGTCAACGCCCCAGGACAATTGTGGCTCATGTGCTTCACAATGTCATGGCATAGGCGTGGCGGCCGGAGGTGCAGCCGTGCTCATGGTGCATCAGGGGTGGAGCACGTCTCAGGTGTACGACAACGTGGGCGTGCTGCAAGCCTTTCTCAACTCGAGCGTCATTGGCCAGCCGTTGGAATGGACGCAGGCCTCTTCACCTGATGTGCAAATTGGCTATTTGTGCGCCTTTGAGCATTGTATCGGCACAGACGCTGATCTGGATAACCGCACCCTATTCAAGAACGATACCTGTTCAAGCACCTGCCCACCCATGGGAACTAACGACTGGCTGGCCAATGAGCAATACTGGGACCTCGGCTTTGACAAGAAAACCGTGACGGCCAATCGCCCTACCGTGCTCAAAAAGTCTTTGGCCAACTCCATGACGCTCCCGCCCTCTGAGCTGCTCAGTGTGGCAGCTGGAACCCAGTGCACCATCTCGTCTGACTCTGGTTTTGGGTATTACTATTGTACACTGTCCTCTCCTCTCCCCGCCAAGACGGACAAGTAGGCGACTCGGTCCCCTTGCCGTCTGTCTGTGGAATAGAATGTTGCTTGCAAATGCATAGCCAGCCCATCATGCTCGCCCACCCTCTTGGTGGAAGATGAGACAATTCTTCACCGTGCCCCTGGATGTAGTTGGGCACGTTTTGGGGGAAGTACTCGGCGCAGGAGACGAGGGCAACTTCATACAGGGACGAGGAAAGCCATCTTTGAGAAATGTATCGTGTCCTTTATATGTTTACAATTGTTGTAAGAGAAGCAAGGGATGGGGCCCAGGGGTGGTGGCCGAGTGAAGAGAGAGAGAGAGAGAAAAAAAAAAGATTTTGGAAACGGACGTCATAACGACAAACTCAAAAACAGAGCGTACATATTGGAATAAAGTCCTTCATGGTGATGGAGGGTATTGTGTGTTGGTATTGTGTTGGCAGGGAGGCACTTAATGGCGAACACCAGTGCCATAGTTGGCGCCACCAGCCGCCTTGACCTGGTCGAGCACGGTGTCGTAGTCCAGCTCTTCGAGGGTGTCAGCCAACACCTCCTTGGCATATGACTGGAGTCAAGAAGAACAGATCGAGGCGGGCATGTTCATCGTCAGTATTGAGACTTGTCAAAGAGAAAAAGAGAAGAGTACGAAAAAGCAGCAGATGAAACCCGGTCGAAGGTCCAGTGGGGCCTACCTGGACGACTTGCTTGACAAAGGCCTTGTCGGTGGAAACCTTGGCCTTCTTCAGGGCGCCGACGTTGGGGCCGACCCAGGTAACGAGGACAAACTTGGCACGCTTGCTCAGCTCGTCGCCAGTTTCAAAGCGGACAAAGCCGTAAACACGTTCATCGTCCTTCATCTCGGCGAGAAAGTCGTTGTAATCGGAGCCCTGGTTGCTGACGGTGATGAGCTTGTCCTGGTAGCCAAAGGTCACCCTATGAACACCATCAGACCAGGCCGGGGTCATGAGGTGAGGCGAGGCACAGAAGATGGAAGGGGAGCGCGAAACACAGCATGGTTTTTTGAACCTGACAGCCAGTTCTCACCAGTTGGTTTCCGTGTCGTCATTGCGCACATCCGTGTACGCATCGTACATGACCTCCTGTGATGCGAAAGGCAGCCAGGGATGGTCAGGGGCAACGGCGGACACTCGGGCATGTAAGAGAAAAAAAGGGTATGACGGATACAGAGGAACAGGGCTCATACAAAATGAATACCTTGTCAATGGGCATGGTGGCGGTTCTGATTGTCCGGGTGCAGCGGCCACCAGACACACTAATAAGGATTTGCGAGATGGGCCGAGGTCAGCAATGGTGGGCGAAAAAACAAGGGCAGCGCGATCAGACCAGCGTGAGCATCACATTCCCTTCCCCCTGCTCTGCACAACCGTTTCACACAAGCGTACACGCATCGAGCCCAAAAAATTTAAAAAAAAAAATAAGCAAGGTACTCATTCGCAGATCCCCAATACTACCGCACAGACACGAAAGAGCCAGCAAGACCAAAAGACTTGACATTTGACACGCCACGAGCCGAGCTCGCGCGCTGCTGCACAATTCCAAACACAAACACAAACAAAACAAGAGGCAAACGTCCCACCAGACCACAAGACAACAACAACAACAGCAACGACAAGATCACCACCCCCCGACCTTTTCCCCCACAACGCGCCCATATCCTTGACCAAGCACGGCGCGTGTTGGCATCTCAGCCTGAGATCACCGCGCTCGCACTGCCACTGATTCGTCGCTACCCGCCCACCATCCAAAGATGCCAATCCCACCAATAGCATTCATTTCCTTCAAAAAAATACACAGCACAACGCCACCCACAACTGCCCGGCTGTCTCGCGAACATGCTCACCCTGTACCCATGTCCCTGGGATGGCGCAGCCATCAGACAGGGGCGCTGCCGTTTTGATGGTCCTCACCTCAAAAAAATCAAAACCAGAGAGAGAGAGAGAGACAAAAAAAAATGAGAGAGAGACAGAGAGACAGAGAGAGACAGAGAGACAGAGAGACAGAGAGACAGAGAGAGAGCAGGAGATAGAGAGTGGGAGAGAGAGAGTGGGAGAGAGAGACGCAGCACAGGCACACACTGAGAGACAGGGACAGGGAAACAGAGACATACTGGTGTGGGCGGTCAAAGGGGAAAAGTGTGTGAACAGTGTGTACATGTGTGGTGATGGGTTGTGCTCCAGCTTGGCAGAGAGAATGTCGAACAACAGGTGTTGTGGCGGAATGGTGTTGTCGTCGTTGACTGCTTTTGAGCGTTTGGTCAGGGCTGAAAGTTTTGAAGAGTTGGGCAGGCAAAAGTATCTACAGAATGATAGTTATTGCGCCTTTTGTGTCCTATTTCACTTTGGAGGGGGTTTTCTATTCCGCTCGAGCCAGAAGATCAAGACGTCGTGGATTATGGCGCTTATGGCAGATGGGCTATCATGATGGTGCAAGGAAGGCAAGCTAACAAATTGGCCAAAAGTATGGGCGGGCTGTACTCAAACGGGCTCAGCAATGTTTGCATCACACTATGCTTGGGATAACTTTATGGACCGACTGCAGCGACTACTATTGCCGCACGCACAGCCCACACAAGCCGTGCCTCGGATGAAGCAGATGCACCTGTAACCACGTTGCCGGGAGCGGATGCGGTGAGCGGGCATTGGGGCAAGAATGAGAATGGCGCCACGACAACTCGCCCAAGGCAGCTCGTAGCGGGAGCAGCGGTTAGATTCACGCACGTGGCTGAATTGCAAATGGGACCCGTGGTGTCGTAAAAGCAATCGCAATTGCTCACCAATTGACGAGCTGGGGCGGGTAAGCGACATAGCGACGGCCGTGAGAAAAACGAGCGTAGTCGGAGAGGGTGGGCAAGAAAGGGAAGGGTGTTCACCTCCAGAACGACGCGTGCTACGCCGCTTAGCAGGAGGGGCGCCGCCGTGTGCATGAGCATCTTGAGCATGGCCGCCGGCCGTGGCAGCAATGTCGTGTGGCTCGGCCAAGTGCTGTCGCAGTGCATTATAATCCTCAAACGATGCCGAACACCCCTATGCGAGCAACGGTGCACGAGCACAGGCAGATCAGAATCAGCATCAGGATCAATATCAGAAGCATGCGCGCACGCGTGTGTGCGTGTGTGTGTGGACGAGGGGCGGGGTGGCCAGCGGCGTCGTACCAGGTGGTAGCAGGCAAAACTGTGATCGTTGATGCCTTCGGCTACGGTGCAGTGCATCGCAAAGTGCGTCGTGATTTCCTTGTTTAAGATGGCCCCACAAATACCACATTTGGTCACCCGATTCTTGGTCTTGGGACTAGGAAGATCAAAGGGCCACCACGGGGTGAGGGACGAGGTTGGAGGTCGGGCAAAAAGGTCATTTCCGCAACCTGCCGTGGCGCAACATACTCGAGGGAGATGTTGACAAAGAGTTGGTGATCGATCAAGGGTTCAACAAGAAGAATTCGTCGGCGGCCGGCATCAATGGCTCCCACCTGCATATGCAAGGCGGAGAAAAGAAAATGCGTGCAATGAAGCAGTCATGGGCAGTAGCGATAGGCAGGCAGGCAGGCAGGCAGGCTGGCTGGCTGGCTGGCAGGAACGACGGGAAAAAAATACGAAAAAATGCTCTTGCGGACTTTTGGCGGCCCATATGCACTTGAACGACCCATATGCACTTGAACGACCCATGTCCGTACCTCGCCGGCTCGAGCCTTGAGTTGAGCATAGAGCTGGGCTGGACTTTGGTCGGGAGCCAAGTGCGGTTGTGCAATTTCGATGAGGGCATGAAGTCTGTTGGACGCGTCAATCTGTTCACTGCCTTCTGCGGACTGCAGCTCGGCAAGCTCCGTGGACTGCAGTGTGACCTGGACATCAACGCCGAGCGAAGACCTTCCATCAGGAATACGGCGAGCTGGCCATACGATCAAAGCGGAGACAGCTTGGGTCATGCCTAGTAGTGGAACAGAGTGAAGTAAGCGGACTGACCTGGTTGACTGGATCAGCAGCGGAGGCGGTGTTTTGGGCTGGCCCTCCAAGCAACTCGCGCTCCAGGGCCTTGATCATGTTGAGCTGGCGGTGCTCAGCTGAGTGAAGGGCCCGATCAGCTGGAACCGGAGCTGCTTCTGAAAGCTGCGACTCTTGCTGTAACTCGGGGCTTTGCTGAAATTCTTGCTGTGGCTCTGAACTTTCTTGTTGCCGCCGTCGCTGCTGGCCGCGACTGCGCACACGGGTTTGAGTTCGCTCCCGTCGAGGCCCACGACGCTTGCTTGGTGCCATCGGGCCTGGTGGCCGTTGAAAAGAATATCACCACTGCCGATGCCGCCGAGCAGACTCGGGTCGATGAAGCTAGCCCACCAATTTCAGGCCTCCACCCAACCAGACTCCGGCCCGCTTAGGCGACCAACCAACACGGGTCACGGATCCCCACCGCGGGTGCCGAACGTCCATCCGCGAGCGAGGCGGAGTCAGGAAAAAAAAACCCGTAAAATAAAAGAGGCGAAATGAGTGAGGAATAATACCTCATGCTGACAAATCACCACATATGGGCGTATACACCGACCCCCATCCCCTTGGCGACGCTTGTTGTTGTTGTTTTGTCGTCGTTGTTGTCGTTGTTGTCTTTGTTGTTGCTGAGGCTTGAGATGGATGCGGTCGAGCATCCGCGCCAGGCAGATCAGAGAGAGACGAGCGCTCAAACTCAAACCCTTCACCTCCGCCCTGTATACCCAAAAGGCAGCACTTGTCGCAACACGAACCCAATGTCGCCCCCCGACGCTGCCACTTCAACACACCCACACCCACACACACACACACACTCTCTCTCTCTCTCTCTCCCTTTCTATTTTTAAAACATTTCATCTGACATTTTGCGCTCTCTCTCTCTCTTTCTTTCTTTTGTGTGATTTTGTTGTTCAGCCACAACAAAACCTTTTCACGCCGTTTTGGTTTGTACCTCTGGGAGAGTACCAAGGTACGGCACTATCTCATGATATTATGCTCAAAGATTGCTTTTCTCTAAAACGTCTCCACCTCTTTTCGCGCATCTCTGTATTTGCCTCTATTTTACAACTGATTAGAACCCGATTTTCTGACACATCTCTGACATCCTCCCGACATTCTCTCCAACCTCTTAACATTTCCCCTCCCTCCACAACCATCTCTGCTCTCTGCCCAGCACCCATCCTCCATCTCTACCAACCGGGCTCTCTTACGAGGACGACACACACACACACACACACACACTCGGACGCAAAGGGTCGTGCGGGGCGGTATTTTTTGCGTGACGCGTCAACGCGACGCGACGTAACGTGTGGTAGACAAGTCGACAAGTCTAGGTCGGTGCTTGGGATCTGGATCATGATTGCACGTTTGCACCGCCCTCTGCACAATAACGTCACCTGTGTTTGGAGTCGATCGCACCGCCATCTCAACTCATGCCCCCGGCTCGCGCTGCCCCCAATTTATCACACAGCGCACGGCCATCAACAAGCACATAGGGGGGACGTTGCAAAGCCCGCTGGCCGCCACATTGATCCGGAGACAAACACAGTCACCAGTCTCTTGGATACAACACCTTGGACCCCCGCTCATCTTGTTTCAAAGCCGGTTCCAGCGTACACCACATCCTTGACGGCTGAGCTGTTTGTGCACACGTTCACGCTCGCCCCCCACCCGGACTGGCCGCCATGGACCGGGATCGGTTCGATTCGGTCGGTCGTCTGCCCGGTGTGGATGGCATGCGCCGCTCCTACGCCGTTGACCGTACCATCCATCGCGCCACCATGCCTGGCCCCGCTGATTACTCGCGCGTCGACTCGGCCCGCCGCTACGCCCCCCCACGCCGGGAATACAGCGACTATGCTGGCCCCGCCTCTAGTGGGCGCCGCTATGCCCCCGACGAACATCTCGCACCCACTGCCGGCGCCAGCACAGGGGCTGGCAACGATCAACGATATGTCAAACTCCTCGAACGTGACATTGAGGCCCTCCGCGAAGAACTCCGAGCCGCCCGCGAACGTGCTGACAACCCAGAACTCCTTCGCGAGCTGCGCGAAACTCAAGATGGCCTCCGGGCCGAAACACGCCGCGTGCATGAACTCGAGGCCCAACTCCAGGGCATGGCCGCCGCCGAGGATAAGCTGGCTGCTGTGCAAGCTGATTACGACCAACTTCGCGACGAGTTCCGGGAACAGCAGCTCCAACTTAACGGTCTCGAACGCGACCTCCACCACGCCGAAGATGCTGCGCGAAGCGCCGAGCAACGCGAAGACACCTACTCGGTTCGGCCCGCCCCTGATTCACATCATGCGAACACCCAGTCATTTGTCCCTCTGTTCTCAAACCTACACCCATGCGATGCGCGTGGCTCCTCCCCCCGTGTGTCTTAAGATTGGCATGAGTCAGCCCCCGCCCCTTCCCACACACACACACACACACACACACACACACACACACACACACACACACACACACACGCTTGGGCTGGCTTTTCCTCATCCCGACGCGCGTCTCAATGCCGCCGCTCCCTGCACTTCCTCAGGATCAGATCCGCCGCCTAAAGGAGGATATCCACGGTCTTCAAGTGGAGCTTCGGGAAAAGGAGCAAGCGTCCGCCTTGGCAGAGCGCCAACACCTGCACGACCGAGAGACGCAGGCCCTCAAGCACAGTCGCGAACTGACCGCGGCCCAAAACGAGGCGGTCGCTCTGCGCAACGAACTTCGCACCAAGGAGCAAGAACTGGCTGCCCGAAAGCAAACCATCGAGTCGTTGGAAGCGCGCTTCAAGAAGGAAATCGACCATACCAAGGAGAGTCGCGCCGCCCACGACCGCATCCTGGCCGAGCTTAAAGAATCCAAGGCCGCGCTCGAAGCCGATGTGCGTGCCGCCATGCAAGGCACAGCAGCTGCCGAGGCTCAGATCACGCGCAAGGATGAGATGATTCAACTTCTTGAAGCAGACACCAAGCAACGCGCTGAGCGCATTGCCCAACTCGAGGAAAAGAACGAGGCCCTCCGCGTTCAGTTCAACGAGCTGCGTGCCTCCAGTGCCGAGCTTGAGGCCGAGCGCAACGGCCTGCAGAACCGTGTCGCGGACCTTGAGAGTCAAATTGAGACGAGTGATGCCCTTCGTAAGGAAGCCGATGAACGTGAGGGTCGTCTCCAGGACCAGCTCACCGAACTCGCCGATGCCCTTCAAGCTACCGATGCCCAGCGACGTGCCGGAACCGTCCTCAACCGCGCAGAAACCGTGATGAAGGAGTTGGAGACGCTGCGTGCCACAGTGGCCGACCTCAAATCCGAGCACGGTACTCTCTCGCTGGAGAGTGGCGGCAAGGATTCCCGAATCGAGCAGCTGCAGGCTACCCTGGCTCGCACCGAGGAGGGCCGGGCCAACGCCGATGAACAAATCTCCAACTTGCGCGATGAACTGCTCCAGCGCACGCGTGAGCTCAAGGATCTGACCCTGTCCCACGAAGCACTTCACCGCGAGCACCGCGCGGCTTTGGAGAAGCTGGCTCGTGTCGAAGAGGTGGTTGCCTCCAAGGACGAGCACATTGAAAACCTGCGCACGCAGCTCCAATCCATCAAGGAGGACGGCCACGGCCGTGCCGATGAACTGCGAGACACCTTGACCCGCGCCACATCCGAGTACCGCGATGAGGTGGCTCAACTCAAGGCCGAGCTCTCGCGCCTGCAGACGGATTCCAGCTCGGACCGCCACTATGCGGCCGTCTGCCGCCGCTTGGGCCGCCTCCTGCGTCTGGACCCTAGCCTACCGGACACGGTCTTCTCTGAGCGCATCTACACCAACATCAATGAGCTCGTGGACAAGGTCGCCAAGCTCGAAGAATCGGCGCGCAATAATGCCGTCTACCCGCCGCCTACCGCGCTGGGCTTGACGCATGAAGACACGCTTCGCAACTCGTTGCACCGCTCCATGACCGGCGGTTTGGCCAGCAACGGTCTTGACACGGCCAATCGCTACGAAACGTCCTTGATGCGCGATGACCTGCGCCGCCGCGAGCAAGACTACGCTGAGCTGCAGATGCGTTTTGATTCCTTCGTTCGCGACGTGGGCCGACTCGTGGACAGCGCTGATCTGCATGACCCAGACCTGGTGCTGTCGACGCTCAAGGACAGCCTCCGTCAACGCCGTGCTGCACCTCCCAGCTCCGACCCACCCGCGCACCGTGGTCGCCGTCGCGGTGCCAACCCGAGCAGCTCACTGCCCAGCCGCCATGGGCGCAGCACGGGCCGACACGACTCGGATGGCAGCCGCTATGGCAACCAGCATGATGAGGACGACTACCAAAAGCTCAAGAAGAAGCTCTCGACGGCCTTGAAGACAATCGAGTCACAAGACATGTGGATCGACGTCCTTAACCGCAAGCTGGACCGCGGTGAGACGGGTGGCGTGCACGGTGGTCAGAGCCAAGAGACGCGACGCCTGGAGGACCAGATTGCCTCGCTCAAGCAACAGCTGCTGCATGCCACTTCACGTCCCGGAACGTCGCTTCCAACCTATCAGTCGGGCTTGGGTGCCGGGGCGTCTGATATCCTGGCGTTTAAGCACACGATTGCAGACCTGGAGGGTCGCCTGCAGAAGCACATTGAGTTTCGAGAGCGCCTCCTCAAGGCGCTGGGTATGGGCGTCATCTCAGCTTCGGACGAGGAGATTTTGCTTCGTGTTGAGCAGTTGGTTCAGGGCCTCAATCGCCCCATGACGGCCGCCAACAACACCACGAGTTACGGTGGCTATGGTGGCGTGCAAGCACCGATCAGCTCTGTGGGTGGCTCCCAGCTGCGGGCCACAACCCCTGGCTATGCCGACAGTGGATTCATGACGTCTGGGCACCTCAACGCGAGTCACAATTACTTGTCGCACAGCGTGCGCGTGGGCTCGAGTCACGGTCGCTACTAAAGCGCTGGTCGCTCGCCGTCGTGTTGTCCCAGCATTGACCATGACTTGTCTCTAGCTTTTGTTTCATATTCTTGCATAATCTTGCATAATCTTTTCTTTGTTGATCAAGTCTGCCGCCGTTTTACAGGCGTCTGCCCCCACTTGGCTAGGATGTGTACATGAACGGCTCTCAGCCGATAGCGCCCGTGGATGTGTGATGACCCGCTCGCCTGCTCGGTCCCGGGTGCATGTCGTTGGCTGCGGAGCGTCGAGGCGCCGTGGGTCTTCTTGTTTAAATCCCGCCCTCTCTTTTGCGCGCCCCCTTTATCATCGGGGGCTGGCTGCTGATCCGAAGCTCTCCACTTTGCTGCATGTTACTTGCGTGTGATAATAATAACATTATTATAATTGACGCTGGCTTGAATCTCTTGTGGGTTCTTTCTTGTTTTTTTGTCAAGGATCTCGGGCAATTAAAACATTTGGTGAGTTTGGCGAGGAAGATGCGTCCCCCAGAAATGTAGCTGGGATAGCACGGTTGCTCGACCCAGCGAAGAGGGCGGGAAACAACAACCGTTGGGCTCAACAAAAGAATTGGCGAGGCAACTGAAACGGCGTGCAAGCACGAGTCACACGATCCGAATCAATTGAATGGATGCAGACCCCGGAAGCCAAGCGTAGCACAAGCGGAACACAAGCCTGTCACAAGCTTGGAGGGGATGGAAGCGTCTACCAAACAGCGAAAACTCCGATTGGGGGACGAGCATGAGCTGGCACCTCATGACGGAGAGTTAGTGGCTTTTGGACTTTGGGCTGCGAGTGCGATCGCTGAAGATGAGGGCGAGCATGGAGAGGCAAATGAGGATGGCGGGGACGGCAGTGCGGAGGGCACAAGTATTGAGGCGACCGGCATAGGGCGGGGTCATGCACATGTCCAGGGTGTGATCTTCGGGTGCGGTGCTGATGGCGCCGGTGGCCATTTCAAAGCTAAAGTAAAAGATCTCGGCCAGGTAGGAGATGATGGCCCCCAAGCGGACGCCACGTTCGTTGGGGTACATGGCAGCGAGCAGGCGCATGACACCGAAGATGAGGATGAACTGGGCAGTGCCACGCACAAAGGCACCGCAAGCGTCGTTGCTGAATGCGGGCCAGGTGCCCTCGCGCCCTGCACACTGACGCGCCCAGCCTCCATGGGTGATGATTTCCTTGCCCAACTCATGACCGTTGAGCAGCATCACAAAGACGATGGCGTCCAGGATGAAGTTGATGGTCAATGCTGTGCGACTCGATGCCATTGTACCGGTGGGTGAATTCAGATGGCGGCCCGACTCAACTGCGACTATCAAGCACCATTTCCGCGTCAAAAAAAAAATGAATAAAATAAAAAAAAGAGGACGAAGGAGCACACAGAGAGCGTGCACAAGTGACACACACACAAGCACACACACGCATCCGCGCGCGCACGCACACACGCAGAGCAAGTCCAGGAGCCAGGGGCGACTCCTCGGACCAACGCCAACACCACCAGCGCCGTGCCCAGTCCCGACTGATCAAAAGGGGGGCGGGTACGTACCACTCAATAAATGTAAGACAAAATACCAACGGCGACACGTGCAATGAATTTGTCAGCAAAAAGAACTTTTTCTTTCTTTTTTTCTTTTTTTTCTTTTTTCTTTGGCTCACACTAATCAGATGTGCTATGGGGGGGGGGGATGGAGGCAAGGAGGTGGCACCGAAGGGCACCTGAGTGCAGTCACAGGGCGGGCTGGCTTGAGAGATGGTAGATGAATTATGCTTTGGCGGCAGCCGACACATGGGCACTGAAGCAGGAGAAACATAGCAAGAGGCCACGATCACACGAACAGTACATCCGCGTCAAGTTGGGGCAGCCCTCACCCACGCAGCGCTGCTGCTGGTACTTTTTCTTGGTTCGCTTGCCGGGCGCCGCGGCCTCATACGGCATCAACTTGATCAGGGTGTGGCTCACGGTCACCGCACCGGTCGCCTCGCGGTTGGCGCGCCTCTGGGCATCTCGGCGAGCACCCTCCCCCTCCATGAGCTCGACGGCCACCATACGACGGAACTGACCGCAGGTGACGTGCGTGCGGTTGCCGAAATGTGACCAGATGAGAAAGGCGTTGGTCATTGTGGCAGAGAGAATGTGGCTGAGGTGGCGCAGAGTCCACTTTGATGGCGCCCAGGCCTCCTCCAATCGGTGACCAAAGTCCTGGCGAAGCTCCTTGTGCTGGTCGACCGCCGCGCACGCCCTGTAAAAGTCGTCCATAACCTCATTGCGACGGAACGCAATGACGTTGTGTCCCGCGCGCACCTTACGCTGCGCACGGCCGAGCTTGGTCGAGCCGTAGGTCGACACCAGCTGTACAACGTACTGGCCGTAGTTGACCAAAAAGTGAGCGACGGGATACGGCACCTGGGTCTTGGTTGTTCCATGCCGAACACACAGCTTGCCAATTGGACGCTGCTTGGCCACCGCGTGCGCTGCTTCGATACCGTCCAGGTCTTGGGGCCAATGTTGATGCTGCTGCTGCTTGATCGGCGTGACTGCAAGCAGGCCGCGTCGACGCAGCTCCACGATGGCGCGGAGATTGCAAAAGGTGCTGTCCATGACCACCACGGCGCCACTCTCATTGAACGGGGCTGTCATGCGAAGGGCGAGCGCGCCAAGCGGGCCAAAGTCCAGCTCGTCCTTTGCTGCTGGCCCTGACCCGTCTTGGCCGCGGGCCAATTCCATCCGCATTATGACCCGCGTCTCGGCATCACAAAGGTTGTGGTACTCCTGGCTGGTGGGGTTTGGTTTGGTGGAAGGCAGGCGAAAGAGGGGCGTCGTGGCGCTCGGGTGCCTCACGCTGCTCTTGTCAAGACACATTGTGCTTGAAGGCGAGAAGAGCTGGGTCATGCGGGCATTCCAGCTATCAATCAGCTCCTCAACGGCCTTGACCTCGTCCGGCTCGCCCAAGGACAGGCTCAGTTGGTCGGCAATCTCCTGGAAGCGCTGCAGCGACATGATGGTGGAGACGGGCGGGTTGGGGTAGAACCGGCTCTCGACCGACCACAAATCATCCCTGGGCCGGGCATCGTCGGCGCAGCGCATCATCAAGCCGAAAAATCCCATGAGCTCGTCGGCACTGAGGGGCGACTCGAGGTGGGGCGTGGTCGCGGCAAGCATGCGTGCAATGGCATCCGGCGGCAAGAGAGCTCGAAAGAGACCGGCCGGTGAACACGTGCGGGGATCAATGACGTGCATGCGGGCACGTTTGCTTGAGCGCTTGTCGCCATCGATGGACCCATCAAGCTCTGCGTCCAGGTCGGTCCACTCTATGAAATCGGAGCTATCCCCGGCGGTTGTCGAGGTGGGGGCGCCAGCCGTGGCCTGCACGTCGACAAGGTCTTCAAAGTAATCATCCCCCACCTCCTCCACGTCTGCTTCCTCAACCGCGTCCTCCGCCGTGGTCTCGGCTGCTCCCGTGGCCACTGCCTCCACGCCCGGTGTGATGATGGCGCGCTGAAAGGCCACCATGCCCGTAAACAACGTGTCGTCCAAGCTCTCATGCCGAAGCCGATACATCAGGCGCCCGCGATGCACCCCACGACCCACAACAGTCAGATCCGTCACCACATCATTCTCCGACACCGGCAGCGTATCGGCAAGATCGCGCGGAAGCAGAAATCGCTTCCGCGCCGACACCACGGTCCCTGGCGGATGTACCGGCATCGCGAACGATCAGTCAGTTGCAACGGAAAAAAATTACAAGAGAGAGAGATGGAGAGAGAGATAAACAGCAAAGGCACAGAGGTATAGCACAACTACCACATGTAACAGATCAAGACGAAGCAACACACACACACGTATTACCACATGTAACAATGCGATAACAAGGGATGTTATTTGGTGTGGAAAGTACCACATGGAAGAGCAAAGTAACACATCCGACGGAGACGGCGTTCGAAAAGGAAAGTTTTGTCTGACAAAACCGACGGTGATCATTATTTGTCAGATTTTGGCAATGGAGGTTGATTTATTTCAGAGGGGTGTAGTTTAATCTGGTCTCCCCCGCGCAGCTCCGGCGCAGCAAAACGGCAGCGCCGGCACGATTCCGGAGTCCTTCAGCCAGCCACGATCGTCCCTCTGGGATTCAATCGTCTTATCCGAGGCCACTGGCTGCCAAACCAAAGACCAGTCTCTCTCTCAGCTCTGAAACGTGGCACGTGAAGACCTTTGTCCCAGTTGAGACCATCTTGCTCGCTCCTCCTCTTCCTCCTCCTCCTCTGGCTCTGCCTCCTCTACCTCCTCCTCCTCCTCTACCTCTACATCTACATCTACATCTTCTACCTCCTCCTCGACCTCCTCCTCTACCTCCTCCTCTCTACCTCCTCCTCTCTACCTCCTCCTCCTCTGCCTCCTCCTCCTTCTCTACCTCTACCTCTACCTCTACCTCCTCTACCTCTACCTCCTCCTCCTCTACCTCTACCTCCTCCTCCTCCTCTACCTCTGCCTCTGCCTCTACCTCCTCTACCTCTACATCTTCCTCTCTGCCTCTGCCTCTGCCTCCGCCTCCTCTCCACCCTCTCTACCTCCCCACCCCCCACCCCGCCTGCCTCCTCTCGACCTCCTCTACCTTCTTTTCTGACCTTGGATCGGGCAAGATGTGGTTGTTCATCACAGTGGTGCTGGCCTTTGTGGGGCTGGCGGTCTGGCTGCGCGAGCGAGCTCGCATGCGATTTCCAGGCGGATCACGGGACATCCTGCTTCATATGACAGGATGGCTGCAGGGGCTGCGAACGGAGGTGATTCAGGGAGATGTGGCGCGCGCCCACCACGTCCTCGTGTCCAAGGGCAGCGATAAAGGGCGCGTGATTGAGGAAAACATGATGCTGCCCGTCTGGACGGACGGGTGCAGCATCGAGTCGTGCAACGGTCGCGTTTGGCGCACCGTCCGCCACAGTTATGATCATTTCGTGCGCCAACTCCCTCCCATCGAGGATCTCGAGACCTACTGCCTCCAACACACACCCTCCATCACCGCCGATGCCGGCGTCCTCGACTCCCCGGGCATTGCACGCACCGTGCTTGCCGCCTTTGGCCAGCACCTCTTTGCCGACGCCTGCACACCACAGCATCTGGATGTGATTGAGGCCTGTAGCTGGGACATTCGCGCACACGTGGCCATGCGCACCAATGGTCACGACGACCTCAAACGCGCCTGCAACCGCACCATCATCAATCTGCTCGAGCAGAGCGCCTTTGAATCGCCCCCCGACCTACCCGGCTGGCAACACCCCCTGGCTTTTAGTGCCGTCATGCAGCCCTTCTTCATTTCTCCATCGGTCAACTTTGTGGACATTGTCATTGCCCTGGATAACTTGTGTGACCTCCGGGCCAAATCCGTCCACTGGCGCAAACAGGGCTACGGGCGCGCCAAGATGGACATTGTGGCGCATCTCGTCGAAAGCATCCGCATCCGCCATCCCTTCCCGATGCTTGAACGACTGCATGGTGACACCCAATACTTTATCGCCCTCGACTCTTTCTTTGCTCCCGGCCACCCGCAAGCCGCCTTCAACCCAACCCAGTGGCATGCCGAAGGCATGTACCAAGATCCCTTGCACAGCCTCATCTTTGGCGCTGGCCCACGCAAGTGTCCTGGACGCACCATCGCCTGGGCCAGCCTCCCCGCCCTCCTCTACCGTTGGCTCGAGCTGGAAGCGGCCGGCCACCTCACTTGGCGCCCCGCTGACCGCCACCGCTTCTCTGGCCGTGACCTCGACAACGCACCCACACCCATGGCCGAAAGCCTCCATGCTGCCGGCCGCATCGTGAGCTGCCTTGCCAACCTCGCCTTTGAAACAAGGCGCCCAGAGTACACGGATGCGCCCCCAGCCACCCCCCTTGCCACCCTTCGATCTCGACGCCCCAACGAGTAGCCTCCACATCTTCTTTGGTTCTCTTGTTCTTGCCCTACTCCTTGTCGCGATTGTACAGTTAATCTGGTCTGCTTCAGTCGCTGCCCTGTTCTGGTACGAGAAACAGATATATTTTTAATTTGGCTTTTAATCTAGGTTGTCACAAGTTGATTCGAAATACACCAAAGTCTTGCTGTTCCCAATCTCAATTCCCATTCTTGGCCGTTGGCTAGCAAAGCTTGCAAACCTGTGTGGCATGAAGTGGCCGGCTTCAAAAGCCGTACGTCTCTTGCAACTGGGTCAAGAGCCAATGATCAGCATCGTGCGTGGTGCGCAGCACCTGGTAGGCTCGGCGGTGCCAAAGCAGGGCAAGGGCCTGTTTTTGTGCAAGATTGGCCACGTCCCCAAGCCGATAGTATTGCAAACCACAAAGAGGATTGTGCTCTGGATAAACATGGTCGTAGGCCAGGGCCAGGTGCTGACCGACGGGCAGGGCGATGTCTTCGAGCCGGCCGCACTCTGTGGCCACGTTCTGTAGCCGTGTCATGATGCTTGTCAAACTGATGTTCGCTGGATGCGCCAAACTAAAAAACAAGCAAGGCAGCAAAGTCGGTAAGAAGCGTGCCAGGCCCTGTTGTCATGTGTGGCATGGCACAAGCCACAGCGCAAACACCAGTCGAGATTCCAACAAGCGTACCGACGCAGGATGTTGTAGCCCTGCAAAAGGCAGACAAGCTCTTCCTCGGGCGTGGACCAGGCATAGTCTTTCAGCGTTTCGGCGGCCCGATACAAGCTCAACAGACGCTGGCGCTCCTCGGCCTCGCATTCGAGCTCATGTAGCATCTTGCCCGGAAGGCGCATCTCAGCGGCCGTGACCTCGGGAAGGGCATCTAGCTCAGCCAAAGCACCATCCAAATCTATGTTGCCGGAGCAAAGGTGAGAAAAATGCTCAAGGTTAGCTCGCGTTGTCTCGCCGACTCGTCTTTTGAAAATGAAGCACGATGCACGGAAAAAAAAAAAAAAAGAAAAAAAAGGCGGGGAGGGAAGAAGGACAGCAAACACCATTGGTGCAGACAGGCAGCAGCGCAGAGGGTACATGCCTTTTGCAGAAGGCGGGGCAGCGGCGAGACGAACGAGTGCGTCTGGGTGAAGTCCCGTGAGTTGCTTGTCACGTGGACTGAGGTCCGACGATGACGCTGTACAAAGAGCACAATCGCATTCAAAACCATACTGGTCCCCCAAATGGCTGTGACGTTGGCCGGTGGGGGCGTAGAGATCAATGTAGCTGTGACACAGCTCCTCGCCGACGGCAATGTCCCGAAGTGCCTTGACGGCTTGGGCATGCAAAGGTCCGCGGTATGTCATGACGCAGTTTGGCTCGCAGCTGTGGTTCAGGATGGCGCCCCATGGATAAACGCCAGCACCGCGGGGCAGCAGCAGCTCATCCCAAATGCTAAAGTTGTTGCAGTCGGCCCGCTGCAAAACGTCCATGACGCGCTGCTTGTCGGTGCTGCCTGGACATTGGGTCACCGCAACCAACTGCAAAACGTCGTCCAGCTCCTCGGAATTGAGGGTGGGGGTGTGCTGGGCCATGGCCCAAAAGTCGGCACAACGAGGTTGGCGCACGGCACTACCAGGGTCGGGTGAGGCTTGCTCCGACTCCTTGTCCTCGAGCTTGGCGCGGCGCTCAAGAGCCACCAAAGTCGCGACCGTCATTGCCGCCTATGCCACGCAGACCATGCACCATGTGACAAAACGAGCATCGTCCCATTGTCTGGCGCGTAGAGCCAACACCTGCCGCTTGGTGGGCGTTCTTCTTTCTTCTCTCTCTCTCTCTCTCTCTCTGTGCGACGAACATACCGCATCGATAATGTGGGGTGGTTGAGGGTTCTCCGGCAGGGTTTGCAACAGCTTGCAGACGTGTTTGTGTGCACGCTTCCAGTTGCGCGTTTGGCAAGGCTTGCTGCAGTAGGCGGCGGTGTGACAGAGACTGCAATTGGCCAGGCGATGCTCCGGTTTTTCGGACACAAAGCAGTCTTCACACCGACGGGCCACGCGCTCCTCATGACGCAAAACAAAGGCAAGAGGAGGATTCAACAACACCGTCTGCCCTCGGGCCAAGGCCTTGGTAGCCCGCACCGCTCGGCCCCGCCCCGGCACCCCCACCACCTCAAACATCTTCTCGAGTCGGGCTCTCTCTCTCTCTCTCTAACTCTCTCTCTTTCTTTCGAGCAGATCGCGCTATTGAGGTTGCTCTCTGGAAAATCCATCATGACAGCAACTCTCTCTCAATGTGTTGAGAAGTACGCCTTGAATCTCGTAAATAATTCACCATGCGTTTCCTTTCTCTGGACTTTTCCTCTCTTTCTTTTTCTCTCTCTTGTCTTTTTTTTGCGCAAAAAATAAAATAAAAATGGCGCTGGCGGGGGAGGTGGGGCGGTTTTTGCGGGAGGAGGCACCGGTGCTGGGACCGATGGTGATTCGAGATTTGACTCAGTATCGCGATGGGGCGCAGTTGACAGCACTGGAGCAGCGGCATGTGCCGGTGTTTGCGTTCAACGTGCAAAGGCACGCGTGTCACATCATGGCACGCGTCTACGAGCGGCCGTACAACCCTGCGGCCGCCCAGGCTTGGACGCTGCGGTGCAGCGTGGCCGTGGTCCTGACGCGGCAGGTGCCATCACAAGTGTTTACCGACTTTGCCACCAGCACCGGTCAAACTACGCTGGCACCATACTACGCCAGCTTGCCTCTTGTGTGGCTGGCGCGCGTGCAGAAGCGCCTGCTGGCGCTGCACAAGCTACCCCCAGGTACGGCACCCGCCTTTGACTTTTGGGCTGAGGTGAGCCACACCAGTGCATTGCGGGTCAAGCCAGCCCAGGCTACCCTTTTTGTGTCCAGTGGGAAATTTTTTGTTCCCGCTCGTCTCCCGCCGGACATGCTCTTTCACAAACTCAAGCAAGGCCTGCAGCGAGGCCAAGCCAAGCGTCGCGCACCAGCGGCATCGGCCACCCAACGCCTCGAGACGACCACAAAGGACAAGCCGTCCAAACCAAACGCGTCTCAGACCGCAACATCTACTACTGCTGCTCCCAGAACAGGAAAGGCAGGCTTGCGGAGGACGCCCGGAGACTCTGGCGCATCCCCGGCCCCGACACGACAGAGTAGCGGGGCCCCTTGCAAAGTGCTATCGGCGCGGCTGCCACTACATTGGACGCTGGAACCCGTCCGGCTGCTGCAACACGTATCACCGACACGCCGTGCGCGTATTGTTGCTGAATGGTGTGCCTGCCGGCCGGACGCTGCACCCACACTTCAGCGAGCCGCTTCGGCGGGATGTACGTTTATGGGAGATGACGGTGGGGCGGCCCAGGGCAGTTGCTGGCTATGCGAGCATCGAGCACCCACGGGAAATGAGCTTCAACAGCATATATCATGCGCGCGGCATGCAGCGACTTGTTGGATGACCACGCCCTATGAGGGGGCGGTTGCGGCGTTGCAGGGGGTGCGGCAGTTGGCCGGGTCATCACGGTCCGCCCGCTGGCAGCGCGCGGCTCAGCCCATGCTGGAGGTGCTCAGGGAGCTGGCTGCGGCGCGATGTGCCGCGGTAGGGCATGCCCCTGCGGTGGCAGCGCTCACGGCGTTGCTGGACGACACGGTGGGGTGGTGTCGGCAACACGAGTGGTGGACGGGGCTGCATGCCACGAGTCAAGCTCTGGAAGCATCCTTGGCTGTGGCCGCTGATGACCTTCGTGTGCAGGCTGCTCACGCGGCCAAAGGCCGGGATGGCGACCCGAATGGTGGTCTAGTAGCAACCTGGGTACCAACGTCCCTCGGTGGTGCTGCGGACGCCGCCGCCGTCACCACCACAACAATGACGACAGGGACGGCAACACCAGAGAGCATGGTGGGCCCTGCGCTCAGCGAAGTGAGTCGAGTGGTCACGGCAAGCTGTTACGCAGACCCAAGCCTGTTGGATACGCTGAACGACGTACTGGGCGTGCATGTGAGCCAGCCGGACCGGGACGCTACGAGCGTCACCGGATCGGAGCTGGCAGCGTGGATGGCTCATCGTGTAGATGTGGCCAAGCGACGGGCGCAATTATTGGCTTCGTTACGACCAGCAGGAACGCTGACGACACGGGTTGTGGAGGACGTGTTGGCTCCGTTGATGCGGAGCATCTACGCTACGCTGCAAGTGTACGTACACCTGCCGGCTTTGGATCCGCAAGATTCAGAGTGGACGCAGGCAAATGCTTTGGTGGAGTTGCAGTTGGCGACGTTTGAGAGCATGTTGTCGCATTTGAATGTATACGATGCTTGGACGCGCTGTGATGCACGAGCTCTGGATGTGCCCCATCTCCGGGCGCTTCGCCGGCAACGACAGCGCCCAAGTGAATCGGGCTGAAGAACATGAACGATCATGTGAACAACCATGGTTGTGGAGAGATGAGAGTATAAACGAGTTGCTGTATAAAAGCAGACAAGCGGCCTGGGTACGAATCGAGTTGAGCTTCTTCCATATTTTTATAAACCTAATTTCCTTGGTTTCCTGACACATGAAGGCCAGCATGCGAGTCGATAGCCTGGATGTGGGTGGCAGGGATTACAACGAGCCTTGTTTGTCGGAGACGCGAAAGAATGACCTTTTGGTATTTTGTATTTTGTAAAGAGGGGGATGCAAGTCCCGAGACTTTTCAAGTTTGTATGGAAGGCCTGTGTGAATGAATCTCATCTGTCAGTCAGTCAGCCAGCCCAGACCAGGCCAGAAGGGTGGGAAGACGTGATCATGTTATCATATTTCGTTATGAATTGCTCACAAGTCAATCAGTTGGTCAGTCAGACGAGGAAGAAGGTTTTTATCATCATGAAGGCAATCATTGTCGGTTAACAAGAATAAACACGCTGAAGCCGAGGGGCGGGGATGGCAGCAGTCACATTTATAAACAAGGCCATTCATCCTTGCCGCGTACCTCTGGCAAAGCAGGCATAATAAAGATTTTTAAAGTAAAAAGAGGAAAAAAAAAAAATCAAATCAAGTCAAAGGTATAGAATATCAGGCTTTGACACACGGTCAAAGGTGCACAACTCAAGGAGATAGGCATAGCTCAATGGGAAGAAGGAGGCGGGAGCGCCATTTGAAGAGGTCTGGACTGAACCAGCCTCAAGGGGAAAGGTCGGGGGTGTGGGACTCGAAGAGGAAATCGAGTTCTTCCGGAGTCCAGGCTTCTTCGCGCAGGTCTTCGTCGTTGACGACTTGGCGGGTCTTGATGGTGTTGACGCTGAGGGGGCCAAAGCCACGGCGGGAGGAGAGGCTGGAGGAGCTGTGGGAGCTAGTCATGGTGGGGGAGGCTTCGATGGAAGCGGTGCCGGAGCTGAGGTCGCTCATGCTGTGCGAGCGGTTCATGGCAGCCAAGTTGAGGGTCAGGCCCGCGGGCTTGGTGTTTGCCTTGGGCTTGAGGTTGTGGGCCGCGGTCGGGGGCACCAGCGTCAGCGGTGCGACGGTCAAGGAAAGGTTGCGCTTGGCCATGGTTCTTGTGTCTGAGTCGAGAGAGTACTGGAGGGCAGAGCAAACAGGACGGGGCGAGGCAGCCGTTGACGGTCGCTGGATGTCAACTGGAGGTAGCTGAGTGAGAAAATGCCATTCCAGCCGGTGCTCGCCTCACTTGTCCTCGGCCCATGTGTGTGTCTGTGTCTGTGTGTGTATGCGCGTATGTGTGTGAGTGTGTGTGTGTGAGTGTGTGTGCCCCTTCTTGAGATGTGATCGCGTTACGCACAGAGAGGGAGAGAGAGAGAGAGAGAGGGAGGGGTCGCGAGGTTGCGAAGGGGCGAAAGGGATTGGGGGGTTTGTCCGGTTGATCGACCGGGTATACGTCAATGAGTCAATACGTGTGGGGATGGATGCACGTGTGTGTGGGGATTTATATGCAGAAGCTGTATCAAAAGTCAATATATGTAGAGAAAGTTGTTGTAGAGTGTGTGGTGTTGAGGGCAGAGACGTAGAGCTTGATGTATTGTCATTTCATCACAACAGGTGGACATAGCCCGGAAGAATCAGGAGTCACTACCCCCAACACCAGTCCTGTGTTGGGGGGGAAATTGTGGGTCAACTCGGCCACACATACAACATCTATACCTCATACCTATATGTGCTTGAGAAGCATATTCTTCATTGGAATTGTCACACATGTAAAGGTAAATACCCACACTTGACTCTGAATGTCAGAATTTGCCGAGGGTTTGATTACCTGGGAATGGCGTTTGGCTGTCCTCACTCACACATGGACGAAAGACGTAGTCGCATACTGTTGGGGCGACGAGCTTGGCTGATCCAGTACGCGTCTACTCGGACCCTCACACGGATCCACCGTAGCCATCACACGTATGAACAAGAATTGAAGACCCACCAACGCATACAAACCATACGTGTGTGCGATCGCGCTCACACCTGAAGCGAGATTGACCCCATACCGTAGCCCGGCCATGTCCCAGCCTTTTATCCCCAACCTCAAGGGTTTTCAACGGAACTGCGAGAGTGAGGGGGAGAGCTCGGTGTGCAATGAATGAATCGACAATACGTCAAGAGCCAACCTCTCGCTTCAGGCCACAAAGTGTTTGAGAAGCAGCTTGGGGCCTTTGAAAGTACAGAAAGTTGGGGATCGATGGCAAAATGGATCACTGGGCATGGACGTAAGAGGTGCCGAACGTCCCTCTCTCTCTCTCCCCCATGTGTTCTTTTGCTTGCCTCGCTGCCCCTCCTCCCCCCTGGGTGTTGTGATGTAATGTAGAATCATCCCACCTCATCGTGTCCATCCCGTCTACCTCCAATTGTCCTGTTCAAAGGGTGTGTCAAGTTGGGTCGCGGCCCAAAGCCCAATCCCCATGCCAGACATGCTTTCAGCAGAATAGCCAGCCTTGGAACGTGATGAAACAGTCAAACGCCCTGACCAACGACCTCGCCCCAAGCCAAACGCGATTCTTTGCCTTCATCTTCTTTGTATTCTTCTACGATTTTTACGCTTGTTCCTTCACCTTCTCCAACTTTTCCACCGTGTACTTTGCTTTTCCTGTTGCCTTGATCTGCATCAACTTCCGACTTTCTTCATCATCTTCCCTATCCTCTGCCGTATCTCGAGTCCGAGCCAAAGGAACGGCACAGCGCGGAGCTGACCAATTGACATGTGACATGCTTTGATGAAATAAAACTGACAGCCCAGATCCAGGCCCGCCCCCTCGAATTGCCAAGCTCAACCGTCAGCGCCGTGTAATCCTTTGGTCGACATGAGTGAGCCGGTTCGGTTAATGCAACACAGCCTCCGCCTACGTCCGCCTACGCCCGCCCACGTGCAACGCGGAGAGAACAAGCTTCGCTGTGCCAGAGAAAGCTCATGAATCCCTGCGCGCTCACCCCCTCTGGATTGCAATCGGCACTGCGTGGCACACCTCGAGGAACGGTCGTGACTGCAGACTTTAGTGGCACGGTTGTCGGAATCAAGCCTTCTTGACGACAAGAACATGATACGCCCCCATCTCCAAACAGGGCCTGGAGGGGCATCAATTCCCTGCTGCTCGCGCCTCCTCCCGTTTCCAGAGCAAACACACTTCAGCTGCGCCGTTACCAAGTCCCTTGATTCCAAAATCAGCTCCCCATGCAAACCTCCGACTGACGCGCGTTACGAATCTCTCGATCGCTCTCTCAATCTCTCGCTCTCTCGCTCTCTCGCTCTCTCTCTCTCTCTCTCTCGCTCTCGCTCTCTCGCTCTCTCTCCCTCCCTCTCAAGCTCTCGATCTCGCTCTATCTCTCTAAAGCTCTCTCTCTCTCTCTCTCGATCTCTCGATCTCAATTTCTGTCTGGTTTCTTCAAGATTATATTCGCTACCCACAATTATGTCATGTGTGTGTATAGATTCTACTTGAGGCACTTCTACACAATTTTATGGTCCTCCGACGAGTTCTGCGGCTGCTCGCTCCTCACTGAGACACGCAGCTGTTCTACCGTATTGAGATGGGCTTTGTGGTTGCTGCGATCTGCGCCGCCAAAGAAGTTGTTGGGGTGGCTTATGTGTGTGCATTGTCCTGCGCGATGGGAGGTGAGTGCATCGAATTGATTTGGTTGAAGGAAGGAATAAGCTTCTCATGGAAATTGGGGGCCAGCGATGGCCCCTAGCGACGCATCTTCGCATCACACTGTCAAGCGTCAATACCACGGCTGCCGCGCCTTGTAATTTTCTGCCCGGCTCGCTCCAACCGCTCCTTCTTCACCCAGGTCCCTTTTGTTCGGAGGAAATGAGGGTTCAAGTTCAAGGGTCGTACTGCGACCCTCCTGAAGGGTGAAAAGAGAAAAAACACAAAGCTTCCCCGACCAACTCAAAGGTGCATCCACTCCTCCCTCGCATCAGACCACCCCAACTACCTACCTACACACACACACACACACACACACACACACACACAGAGTTTGTCATCACCCTTCTTCTCAAGCAAGGCAAGCCCCTACGGGCTTGGGGGGACCAACCAGCCTTCGGTCGAAAGGGCTTTGCGTTCCAAATGACGAGGGTTCAGCCCCAAGCCCAGCTTGCCAGAAGGGCTCACGCACGTGTGAGTCAGCTTTTCAAGACAAAGATCCGGCTGCTATAGAGTACGCACACTCGCCCAGGCAGAATATTCCTAAATGCTATCACTCTTGGCCCACCGGAGCCCGAGCTGGAGTGCGTGCCCGTGCGGAAAAATGTTCACCCGTCATGAAACCGAATGAAGCGCCGGCGACCACAAGTGGCCAAGCTTCATGTCGATTCGGCAGAACACGAGCCATGCCCTCTACACCCCAACGAGCAGCAACCCCACCGTGCGACCTCTCGACCTATGAACAGCCCAACATACCCAGCCTGTGATTGCGCACAACAAACTTCAAAACGCCTCGACATGATGCCGCCCAGTTGCCTGAATTGTCAGCTGAAACCGGATCAGACCCATGCTGACAGCTGACAGCAGCGCAACCACGCTCATTAAACAACTCAATCGCTCAATCAGGTCGTTCTCAATTCTGACTGCAAGAAACGAAACGAGATGGATGAAAGAAAAGAAAGTCTGCTCAGCAGACAGCTCACCACGAAACACCGCGCTCACAGAGACGACGCCACCAAGCCACGATAACAAACTCGTAACAACAGGACCACAACGCCGATCCAGTCGCGTTGACGGAAGCAGCCATGGCACTGCTGGCGCAGAGGGCACAGTCCCTCATGCACAGTGTTGATACCACTAGTCGTCTACCGCCACTGGTGCATCAATCGTCCGGTGGCGGACAAACACGACCGCAGCCTCTAGGTGGCGGGTCCCCGGAAAGTGATCCAAGATCACCATGCGCGCAAGCCGGTGCGTGGTATGGAGCGCCTCGGCGTCCAAAATCAGCTTGCGCAAAGGACTACAGCTAATCAGCATCACGACCTCAAAGTTATGTAGCTGAGACCGGGTAAAATCATCCAAGCCTAGGATTCAGGCACCCCAGTGTAACCCAGCGAGGATAGATGTTTTGCCATGAGATGAAAATGGCTTCATACGCAAATCGGATCGCCGAAGCAGACTGTAAATAAAAAGTTATCAGGCCAGATGGACATACCATCGCGCGGTGGGTCCAGCAGCACAGCGTCATAGCGCCGGCCTTCGTGCTCGCGCGAACGCAATAACCGTCGGCAAAACTCCACGGGGGCTCGATGCACTGTGGCTCGTGATTCGCAGTGATTCAACTCCAGATTGCGCCGCGCCGCCTCCACGAGCGTCCGTTGAATCTCCACTGACAGCACATGAGCAAAAACCTATTTGTTCACACAAACACACAAAAAATTAGCTGAACCTACTCGGCCTAGCGCCCGGCGCATGGAAAAGACAGTGTTTCGTGGCATCACCACAACCAACAACAGCAGCAGCAGTAGCAGCGGTAGGACACATTCGCTCCCTCGTCCATTGCCCCTGCCAGCCTCCGGCTTCCTGAGAAATCAAATCATTCTACGTACCGAACACATGGCCGGCGTATAGGTCCCCGAGCCCGAGTAGAGCTCGAGCAAATTAAGATCTGTACCACCGAATTGACGAGCAACCTCGACCAGCCACTGCATGGTTTGTAGACACATGGGCGCCGATGGGTTGCTAAAAATGGACTCTTCCTGCTGCTGGTATACATCAAGACCGGGCTGCAGCGGGAACCGCTCAAGAACGTGGGTGCGTGGCAGAGCAATACATTGCTTCTTGGCACGGCCCACGATGGTGCCCAAGCCCAGCGCCGTCCGGCAGGCCTCGGCTGCCTCGCGCCAACCGACCTCATCCAGAGGCTCTTCGTACACCAATGCCAGCATGGAGTCATCGGATAACGTCACATGAAAGTTCAGCGAGCGGCAGGACTTGGCGAGTCGGTCATCGCTGGCCAGGTGCTCCAGAAATGCCCGCATGAGCAGCTTGATGCGAGGCGCTGCAATGACAAACTCATCGCCCTCCAGCGCTGTGGCAATGCCATGCTTGCGTCGTGCATAGCGATATGGATGTGATAGCAGCTGAAATAAGCATCGATAGCGGCTGCCGCTCTCTGCTTGCGGAAGAACCTCCAAGCGGGGCCTGTCCCCCACCGCCGTTGTGGCATCAGCTGATCCTTGTCCGACTGAATCCGATGGTCCGGCAGAGGGTAGCGCGCAGTCGGGTACGTGAGGATCAAGATACTCGGCAAAGGCGTGATGCACCTGCGCAACTTTTGCCGCAAGCTCTGTCGTGTCAAAGCACGCCTCCTCCTGATGCCTGGGTGGCATGCTTGTTCGTCTTGCTTGCGTATGCGACTAAGCCAGATTAATAGGCCTTTGACCACCACCCAGAGGGCTACAACTTGACTTGCTGCCAACAGCAAGGCCGTGATGTACAGAAAAGGGAACGGGAGACGCAGGGAGAAGCAGCCAGGGGGGCGGAGGCGGCGGGGCGGGTCGACGAGCACACGAGCAGTTCTCGCAAAAAAAAAAAAAAAAAAAACGAGAAACCAACACGTGACATGATGTGCATTTCTTCATAATTTTCGAGCATTTTTGACTCTTTTTCTGCATCTGATGTGATTTTTTTTAATGTCTGTCTTTGAAGTTCTCGGCCGAATCAACAAGTGTGGTGGTCTGCTCGAGAGGAAGGAGGCGTCTAAAGTTGCACTTCCACTGCGGTTGTGTGAAAACGGCTCGCCGTCGATCAAACACCACAAAAAGGGTGGTTTTGGTGCATCTCTATTCTAGCAGACGTTCGACGACCGTTCGACGTAGGGGTAGTAGTTCAGTCATGAGAGCGTCCAGATGAGGAGGGGGCTCATAGCGAGTGTGCCGTCCTGGAAGCTGGGAAACGTTGCAGGCAGAGCGACGTGATGAGCACAATGCGATTCAAGCCTACAACGCAATCTCGACCCGCGCTCGAAAGGCATTGCAACGAATCGAATTTCTTCATCTTGTTAGCGTCAATTTCGTGCTGGAGCCTGACACATCTCCATTCATGCGCCATGGATGAATAGGCGCCATGAGGCCGGCGCTTTTGAGAAGGATGACGAAGCAAACGCCGACTTTCAATTTGGGGCTACCTTATGCAGCCAATTCAAGGACATTTGCAGCCCAGCACAGGCGCAAAAAAAACTCCACTGCGTTTTTTTCGCAACGCGGCCCAAATCATCAAGATAAAAAATCCACGTTTTTTTAAGATCGAGAAGAAAGACGAAAAGTACATGGCAAGTCAGGCAAGCAATCGGACACATCCACGTAGTGGCATTTTCCTGACACGCACATACACACACGCACGCACGCACGCACACACACGCGCGCGCAGATTGACTCACAGCACTTGCATCACGATATAGGCCATCTCATAGTGCGGGTCGCGGAACGGACGGGGTACAGCTCCGTCATTGCTTTGGACAAGGTACCAAGTGTGGCTCAGTTGGCGCACACTAAACATCTCTTGGACTACGGCATGTCCATTACTGGAAAGGTAACGTTGGCCACGTTGGCCACGTTGACCACGTTGGCTGCGTTGGCGGCCTCCAGACTCATGCGCTCATTCTTGCGGCGTCGGTACTGGCGCTTGTTGATCATGCGGCGCATGTGCGATCGTGCCTCCTCCGGCGAGCGCTCGGAGCGCAGCTGCACTGATTCGCAGGCGCGAAGGATACTGGCACACTCAGAGGCCAGCCGGTCCTCGGCCAGCTGGAGCGGGGTCACACCATCCAAGTTGGGCACCAGCACGAGCAAGGTCAACACCTCCCGGTTGAGCTGAAGCAAGTGTGCCAACATCTGTGGCCAAGTCAACGGACAGGGTTGGGCGGCGGTGAGTTCCAAGCAATGCCCTTGAATGCAAGGCGTAAAAAAAAAACAAAAAAACGAGTACTTTCAACATGAGGGACCAACAGCACTCCCAGCCTACCAGAGGATTTTCTTCACGGGCAGCCAAATGCAGCAGTGATTCTTCGCGGTCGCGAGTGGCGACTAGGAGCGAGGCGGGGACACGGTCCGCAATTTGGGTCACGATCGAGCTTGCGTTTAGTAACACGGCCCAATGAAGAGGCGTTTTGCCCATGTTGTCATGCCCGCCGAGTTCCTCATTATCAGGGCGGACAAAGGTGAGCAACAGGCGCACCACCTCGCCGTGGTTCTGCAGGTCCCAGATCGTGCGATTGTCAGTGAGTAAGGACGCATGCCGCCATATCAGTAACGAGACCACATCCTATTTCGTTGCTCTGCTGCTACTCACGTGAATGCAAGCATAGGACAGAGCAGACATGCCGCTGTGGTCGAGTCGCAGCACGTCCACTTCCAATGGCACAATCTGTTGCACCAACTTGAGCCAGCCTGCACGACGACGCCAAGAGCAGAAGAATCAGGGCAAAAACAAGAATCACAGGAAGAGAAGGTGAGTACAGGGGTCAGCTGGCGTGAAAATTCGAGACGTGGCAACAACAAATGATGTCAGGGATGTGGGTCCAGCCTTCAACCGGCTGGGGTTCCAGATTTGGTGATGCCAAACTAAAGTTCAACTTGAATACACACCTCGGGCCGCGGCGAACATCAGGAGTGTCGTGCCATTTTCGTCACAGGCCGCGACCAAGGTGGACGATCTAAAGAGCGAGCGTGGTGAGTGGTATACCCATGGACGGGCAGGTGAAGTGCCGCGTTGCACGAGAAGAGGTGGTGTTTGGGACGGCCACACGCACAGTTGAAAGTCTTCGTTATGATATCCGATGCGGTTGAAACGTTCAAACACCAGCTTGAGATCGTGAATCCTACGCGAACATAAGAGGTGCATGCGTAAGCTAGGCGATCGTGCAGCGAGCATGTGGGCAGGAGCAGACCCGGCAGCAGTTGCTAGAATATCGACCAAGCTTTCACAGGGCCGGGAAACATACGTTTGAGGACTCTGGGGGCTGAGACAAGGGGCCGGGAATGTTCGACTGGCGTCATGGGGAAAGCCCTCCTCAGGTGTGGCGGCTTGGGTAAGGCTCTGAGCAAAGGGCGGCGAAGAGGCGGAGGTGGTGTGTTTGCCCTCGCCTCCATGATGCGAGCCATCAGGGCTTAGAGCTGCATCAGAAATGTGACCACCCGAGGCAGCTTGCATGGAAAAGTCTGTTGGAACGACAAGCAAGCCAACAGACAAGATGCCCATGGTGAGGAAATGGGGCGCCCGTGTTGCTGACGTGGTAGGGGAGGGCGATGCACATGCTCAAGTTTCCAAAGCGCACCAATTTGCATTAGTCCTGGCTCGTCGTCCCGCGTTTTGAGCGGTTCCTGCAATACCCCCATCGCATCAGGCGGTGCGTTGTCATGTGCGAAGAAAAAAGGGTAAGCGGGCGCGGACAGGCGGACGGGGCGGCAGCACGTACAAAGGGGTCGAGGTGGTCCTCTTCCCCGGAGAGTTGGGCATAAGTGAGCTTGCGGGAGCGCCGATTGCGGTGAAGGACGAAGATAAGGACGAGAATGAAGAAGGCCATCAAGCCGGCTGCCACATACAAGAATGTGGTGGGCACGAGGACGCCGTGGTTGACATTGTTGGCGGGGCGGACGGCCTGTTCTGTCTGTGATGAATGGGCAGGGGTGGCGGTGCCGCTGCGTCGGTGGGTGGTGGCTGCACTCAGAGTCCGAGCCATGGTGGAGGAGGAGGCCAGGGGTTTGTCGGTGGGCATGGCTGTGGTGGCATGCGCTTCGGGGAGGGCGGTGGTCCAGCTCGCGGGATCGGAGGTCACCACCGTGATGCAGGGTTGATCGTCGGCGGGGTGTAAGAGGGCGTTTTGCACGTTTGGACACCTTGTCCAGGCGAGAGCACCCAGGCCAGCACGGGTGGTGAGGGGTCGGGCAAGGGCACTCATGTTAAGTTGGACGAGGGTTCGATTGGGGCCCTGATTGTCGAGACGAAAGAGGCGAACTTCTTGGGTGTCGTTGTTGGTGGCAGGGATGCCGAGAGCGAGAAAAGGGTGCCAGGCCGAGGTGGTGAGGGTGATTTGGCCCAGCACCTCGGGGCCCGCATTCTCAAGGGTGGCGAGTGGGGTCTGGGGGTACCAAAAGCCATCGTCGAGCTTGAAGAAGGGGATGACGGAGACCTGGTGAGCGGCGGTGAGGGCAACTCCGACGAGGGCGTTGGTATCGTTGCCAATAAAGGCAACGCCTTGGATTTGACGTTCCAGAGTGGCGCTGGACAGCTTGAGTGTGGAGAAAGGGCCCTTGTGGGTGAGGATGAAGGAGTTGACGTAGATGGCACCGCTGTGGTCAATCCAGGGAAGGTCATGGAGGGACCAGGGGAGGGTTCGCAATTGTTGGTTTGAGTTGTTGAGGTAAAGGAGTTGGCTGACTTGCGTATTGGTGGGGGCGGCCCAATAGCCTGGTGGGAAGAGGGCCGTGGGGCTGGCGCAGGGCAGGGGCTTGGCGTCAAGGGCAAACGCAAACGAGTTGTTGGCGGGCAGATAGGCGGCTGAGATGAGCTGGCCCTGTGAGGTTACGATCACGGGTTGATGGCCGGGGGGCAGGGGCAGGGCACGCTTTTGCAGGCGGCCAGTGTCATGATCGTAGGTGACCGTGGTACCATTGGGGAAGGCGAGGATGCGGAAGTTTGTGGAGGCCGCCACCTGTACGGGCGGCTTCCAAGCACGCGTTGGGAGTTGGGAGGTGGCGGTGACAAGTCCGAGGCCAAGAAGGACAAGCAGTCGCAGTGTGTTGAGGGAGTTTGGGCGGGGCATGTCGCCGAGCCGGTGAAGTTTTGGGTGTGCGGGGGTTTGAGCGAGAAGGGTGGGGGCGTGGGATCCGCACTCTGGGCGGCCCACCAAAGGACAGTCACCGAACGGGCGGCGGATCGACTTGAGCGGGGCGACCGGAGCAGCTGGGAAGGCACGCCGATGAGGAGTCTTTTCTTGCTTTAGGGTTGTTGGGGTGGTCGTCGGGCTGGCTGCCGAATAGCCAGATGGTGAGCGAGGCAGAAACTGATTTGCTCCGGGCCAGGTCAGCTGCCGATTCGTGAGCTGTGCTGGCGGGTATGGGGAGGAGGTGGTGAACTTTCGAGGAGGGATGATGGATCTGTCGCGTCGAGGGATGTGGATCGTGTTGCTGCGGTGATGAAATTGGATCCAGGCATGGCCACACCGACACGACAGGGATGGTGGAGGGTGTACGGAGAAGAAGAAAGGCCGGTCCAAGGCTGCTTGTTGGATGATCAAAAGGGCTTCACCAGAGATGCACCAGTCAGTGTCACAGAGAGATAGAGAGAGATAGAGAGAGATAGAGAGATAGAGAGAGATAGAGAGGGTGGT